CCCCTTCCCCCGCCCCCAGCTCCTCCCTGACTACTAGCACCACCCGCTCCATCACCGCCCGTGCCCCCTCCTCCTCCAGCGCGAGGAACGTGCTTTTTCCGTTGCTGCGGGAAGAACATGCCTCCGGATCCCAACGCTGAGCCTGAAGACGACGCGAAAGCGGCCGCTTGGCCTGCGACCATTGGGTCTGAAGCTGCATGTTGGGACAGGACTTCGTTTAGTATAGAAAGGAAGCGCGGGTTCTCGGTCAGGGAGTCTGGGGTTGGTGGGATTTGTGTCGTTGTGCCTAGGGAGAGCTTTACTGAGGGCGGGGATGTGGGGAGGAGGGAGAGGAGGTGTGCTGTTGAGGGCGAGGATGGATGGGGGAAGACATACTATATGGAAAGGACAGGTTAGTATTGTGGAGGTACAGGGAAGAGGATTGGGCATACGATGTGGGGATTTGATTGGAGAGTTGAGATTGAACGGATTGCTGTCCGTATAGCAGTTGTTTTGCGGAATAATGGGAGGGCGAGCATTTTGTTGTTGTATGGCGTTTAAGGGAGCTTGAAGCACGAAATATTTTGATAGGAGCTCGGATCAGGAAGCTCAAACCAGCATGCACGTCATGAATTTCAGGGGCCTGTAAGGCTGAACCAGTGAACTACAAGTGGAAAACGTGGTTTTACAAATACTTCATACTATCATACACAATTTCTCCAAATATGATATTTCCAAGTAGCCCCTCAATTTTGCAGGAAAGCATCTTCATCATTGTTCACGTTTCACATCGTCGCAGATTTTCAAATATACTGAATGATCTTTATTCTTAATCCACCCATTTACATGGCATCATTTTGAAAAACCAGACCAGACCAGGTAAAGAATCTCCGATATCGCTCGCAAGAAAGAGACGACCATTCGCCATAGCATTCACCTCTGGATTCCTGTACACGCCCCATGAACTCGCGAGTTCAGCATCTATTTCTTCAACTCAGTACCATCAAGACCACCGTACATCTGGACATTGTGTTAGCGAGAATCTTTAATTTCATAAAGGGAAGCCTTACTGTCTCCATCATGATACCAGTGATTTGATATGGGTCAGCATTTGAAGCTGGTCGTCTATCCTCGAAGTAACCATAACCCTTGTGACCACATTCTCTTGGAATACGAATGGATGCACCACGGTTGGCAACACCATATGTGAAGGTATCAATGCTACCAGTCTCATGTCTGCCAGTAAGACGCATTGTGTTGTCCTCACCATAGACTGCAATGTGCTCCTTGTGGCGGCCCTCGAGCTTCTTAATCGCAGCCTCGATGTACTTCATACCCCCCTCCTTTCGCATCTCCTTGCTGGAGTAGTTGCTGTGAAGACCAGCTCCGTTCCAGTCACCAGGAATTGGCTTGGGGTGGAAGGAGATTTTAGCACCAAATTCTTCGGCAATGCGGTGGAGGAGGAAACGGGCCAGCCAGAGATGGTCACCCACTAATAGACCCATTTAGCGGAGTACAGCAAAAGTGCGAAACAAAGATACTCACTTTCAATACCATTACAAGGACCAACTTGGAATTCCCACTGGGCGGGCATAACCTCGGCGTTGGTACCAGAAATCTTAATACCAGCGTTCATGCAAGCCTTGTAGTGAGCCTCAACAATATCTCTGCAGTAAACCTTGCCAGCACCGACACCACAGTAGTATGGACCTTGAGGACCTGGGAAACCATTCACTGGCCAGCCGTAAGGCCTGTCGCCCAAATCAAGAAGGGTGTACTCCTGCTCGAGACCAAACCAAGGCTCGTGGGCCTTGTGGGCCTCCATGAGCTTGGAACACTCATGGCGGTAGTTGAACTTGTTTGGGGTTCCATCGGGGTCCCAGCACTCGGTGAGAACCAGGATGTTGGGGGCGCCACGCAATGGGTCAGGGAAGATGGCAACGGGTCGGAGGTAGACATCTGAGTTGTCACCTGGGGCTTGGCCAGTCGAGCTACCGTCGAAGTTCCACTCTGGGAGGTCATCGAGAGTGAATTCACCGCTTTTTGGGACCTTGAGGAGAGTCTAGAAAGAACCACAATTATTAGCATATGCATCAACTTTGTAGGAGTTCCCGTTTGCAGAAACTGCAGTGGGCAATCTTGAATGCAAGATTGAGAGAACTTCTGGACACAAGACCTGGCATCCCTGGCCGAGAACCCCGCACTTGAAAGTGCGAAGTTCCAGGTGGCCAGGAATTGAGATGGAGTGACTTCGGAACATCTCCAATCATTCGTACACAAGGTATGACAATGCAGTTTTCGTAACCGCCGATTGAGGCGGCAGGTACTTCCTGGGGAAGATATTATTGCATACCTTTGACTTGGAGCGAACGCCACTACCCGCATCAATCCAGATGTATTCAGCCATAGCTGATCCCTTCTGGTCGAGCTTCATGTATTTGAGGAGCTGTGCAGCGTCAATATTGCATCGCGGGGTGATTCCGAGGCTGCAAAACTTACATTCTCCGTGTAGGAGACGGTACTTGAGGTCGCCATGATCGCGGTAGATGTGGAGGGTTGTGGGAGAATGTTGTGTGAGTAGAGGTGTAGGATGCGGAGAACAGCAACCAACTTGCGAGAAAGTTGAAGAAGTAACAGAGATTTGTTGGGTTGTTGATAAGGATGGGGGGAAGCTCGTTCGCTACTTATGGATCAGGGCTAGGCGGGGCGGATTTGCAGGGGTCCGGTGAATGAAGACAGTAGCGTGGGACGGAGGGGGAGGGATTCAATGGCAAGGTCGTGGGAGGATATACGACCGGTACACCACGTCAAGGAATCAACTATCTACCTACACTTCTTTTATCATTGTTGAGGCATATCTATGAAAACTCTTCATTTATTCTTGCTTTCTTCGTAGAGGCATGATCCTCATTTGCAAATTTCCAGAGGCACCCGACTCACGTAGCATTTGCGGCAATTACTGTTTTAGAGCGCTGTCTGCAACTGAAAAGCTTTCCATGCACACTGTAAAGATACAGTGCATGTACGGGCCATGGTTGTGACTGTAATTCTATACCCCTCATACATCAAATAATCAGATCTCAACTATTAATAGGTTGACGAGCTAGGCATGAATGGATTTACATACGGTATATGGAACCGAGAATAATTGCTGGTTCTATGTCCCTGTCACAGGAATATTCCCAAACCTCTTCCCCTGACTACTGAACCCAGTCTGTTTGTCACAGGAAGGTATTCTGACTTTCAAATATCAGAACACCTTTTCCACCCGCATTGGGACATTTATCCCGGCCCAAAAGCAACCTCCCATCGTTCCACAACATTGGCGTCGACAGGGTCTCTGTGGAGAACATAGGTGGTGGTACCTACCTACAGCACAAGAAACACCAATACTGGGAATAGAATCCTCACTCACCGGGTTGAGTCTCTTCAGTTCCCTCCCCCACACAAGCAACATTCCCAAGTCATCAATGGGCTCCTCCCACGCACCCGGACTCTCTCAACACTTGCACGTCTCGCATCCCACCCCATACCCCCATATATGTATTCTTACAAACGGAAACATTCCTACAGGTTCCCTTCGTCCTCAAGGTTCATTTGTTCGAGGATCCCAAGCCCAAGCCTAAGGCCCTCGGCGGGGTACCTAGCGCTTGTCGCCGAGACCCGCCCAAGCCACACGATAAGGATTTTGGGGTGTGTGATTGGTCCGAGTAGGGTTTTCTTCGTAAGCTGCTCGAGTAAATCCGCCGATGGGCCTCCGATGCGGCGCTGTTGCTGGTTGAACCGAGTTTGAAAATAGAGTCACGTTCATGTTGGTACTCCGTAGACATCGATGTAGATGCCACGGCCTCGCCACTTCCTGGACAGAAAAAAGCGGCACTGGTTTTGACTACTCCAAGCCGAGTGGCATTCACAAGCTGCCATATTGAGTGCCGCTTTTCTTATGCTCATCACGAGATGGCTTCGTATTAACGGTATCGTGAACTTTAGTATGTGAGCATGTGGTTATGTTTGTACTTTATGGCACCGCTTCTCGGGTTGTTATTATTATCATAAACAGTCGGTATACCTCCGTACATTGTACCACTTCCCGTTCACCTCACTCCACACGCGAGCATCTTCACTGCGAAGTACCGTACGGTATGATACATAAGTACGAGTAGCGTTTCTTACAGTACTCGTACAACTGGCGGCTAACAAGCCAAGCCAAGCCAAGCCAAAATCCCGAACTTCACGTAGCAGTAGTTCTGTTCGAGGAATACCTACCTACAAGTGGAGCTGGGCTTAATTAACCAAACACCATTACATTATCACACTGCAATCAGATTCAAGTCACCTAACACACAGTACACTCTCCAATACCATCATATAAAGCCAGCGGGCGTACCTAGTATGACTCCAGTTTCGCCTGCGAACTATTCTTGAGTCCCGGCTTATTACACTGCTTCGTGTGTAGGTGGAGTGGGACGTCAAAGTCGTTGATAATACGGAAAAAGTGCCACTTTATGTCTAGTCTAGCACAAGCCTGCTTATTTGGATATATCATATCTGGTATTAGAGAAAGAAAGATCTGGAGAAAGTGAAATGATTAAACGTGTACTCCATGATTCTGTTTTAAGTCGTAGTAGTATGCATGTTCCCCGAAAGCAATGGCAGATCTATCAATCCCTCGTGAAAAACAAAATCATAGAGGGTTATTCTATATCTAAGATCCCATTATAAAGCCATCACAACACCTCTCTATTCTATGTCTTCACATCTGTCTTCCCCACCCTAACCTCCCCCTTATCCCCCTCATCACCCGCCATTCTCTCCTCGTCATACCCCTCGTTCCCATACGCCATCCTAGGATCCAACACCTCATCCCCAACCTCCATCCACACCATACTTGCCGCCTGAACCGGCCAAATCTTACACAAAATCCAATAAACACCCCCCGCAACTATGAAGCCGCAGAAGAAATTCAGGTTGTAGATATACGTTGCGCCCTTTGGCACGGGCTTTCCAATCGCGCCCACGAACCCAACAATGTTGATAAGGATACCGGCAATATACGCAGCATAGCCTCTGAGCGAAAATCCATAGCTGTAGAAATAGGGCGAGGTTTTCTTGGCTGAGTACAGTTCTTTGATTTCGAGGTAGCCCTTACGGACGAAATAGTAGTCGGTGACGACGACGCCGGCGATGGAGGACAGGAAGACCGAGTAGGCTGAGAGGTACGTCGTGAAGTTGTTGGCGCTGGAGAGAAGATTCCAGGGACACATTACCAAGCCTACTAACGCACAAACGTAACCTCCGCGACGGATATTCAGATAGCGTGGCAGGAGAGCAGTCATATCCGTACCAGCACTCACGCTATTCGCAGCTATGTTCGTGCCGAGTTGCGCGAGTGCGAATGCCATAGCGATGAAGAAGACGCCGGCGCGGTTCTTGGACCCGCCTTCGTCGAGGAATGATTGGAGGAGATCGAGTGGGTTCCAGATCGGCTCGCCTTTGAAGATTACGGTTGAGGAGGAGGAGACGATTATACCGATGAAGGAGGTGACTGCGAAGCCGGCTGGGATGGTGATGAGTTGGGACCAGAGCGCGTCCCTGGGCTTGCGTGCGAAACGCGCAAAATCCGGGTCGTTGACGATGAGTGTTGCGAAGTTGGAGATGGCGGACATGATGCCTGCTACCATGCCCCACGCTAGTTTGGAGCCTGTAGCTTTGGCTGGCTGGTGTACGATAGGTCCAATGCCGTGCGCTCGAGTGATGGCCCAGATGAAGAACGCAATGCCTGCTGTTGGGACGACGAAGGCTTTGACTGTGAACAGGTGTCTGATTTTGTGGACTGGGAACCAGATAGCTGGGAGCGAGCAGAGCCAGAAAATGAAGAACGAGACAAAGGCCACGGTATTGGTACCCGAATTGGGAATGCCGTTATGGACTTTCTGGAATGATGGCCAAATAGCGGCGATCATAAGCTGGACGCATTCTCCTCCAATCCATGCCTGGACTCCGTACCAGATACACGCCATGGCTGCTCTATTGAAAACCGGCCATAGAGCCCCCCAGATTCCGAAGCTGGCGCGTGTAACGACTGGAAAGGAGATATGGTAGGTCGCTCCGATTCGTCCTGTGAGGCAGACGAAGCAGGCTGCGATGGTATATCCTAGCCATACGCAGATCCAGGATTGCCACCATGAGAGACCGCCACTGGTGCCGCTGACCACGATCATGGAGGAGGAAATCATCCATGTATTCTAAAAGAGTATTAGCCATAAAGCTATCGTGCTACGGAATTTCAAACAAACTCACGATGTTGAAGGAATCAGCAACCCAAAACCCCACAAAGTTCCAAGGACCCCATTGTCTTCTCTCTGGCTCCACCGGTTTCAAGTCATGGTTGTTTAACATCAGCTGAGAGTTGGTCAAGCCGGGCTCGCTCTCCACCGCCAGTCTGTCCACATAATGGGCCAGTCTCGTCGACTTGACTTTCTCCATTATGAAGTCGAAGAGATAGGATTCGTCGGAGGAGTGGTAGGTAGTGTGGTTGGCTTGAATGAATAATGACGACGAACCAGTTTGAGGGTGACGTCTGAACCCTCCAGGTGGACCTGCAATGTCCAACAAAGGTGCGTCTTCTGAATCCGAATCTGAATCCGAATTCCTACCTCTGGAAGATGATGATTCAGCTTTATTCTTGAAACCTGCTTCCCTATTTCGAACAGAATAGGACATTACCGGAAATATATAGATTGATCAAGCCTTTCGACTAAACTGAAGATCCCACTGTACTTACATGGGGCCCAGGTCTGCAGACAAAATTCGCAAAGAGCTCACTGCATCTGAAGTGACACCAGGCACTTTTTGGCCATGGTACCGCACCGCGGCGGCCATGGCTTATCTTTGCTTCCAAGTTCCCGCGGTCAATTTCAGTTGTTATCATCGACTTTTCTTCAAGGGATGCACGCTTGACGTCTAGCTGTACCAAAGTTGTGCTTTTCCTCTAGTTCTCTACTGCTTGCCTGCGTGGGGTACGTGACGTTCAGTGGTAGCCCGCGGCGCGAGGCGAATGAGTACCGGGATGGTTTAGATAAGGTTGGCGTGTTACTCGATCTCATCGAGTCAATTTGATTTTGCGGGGGAACCGAAGACCTTTCTTTCATTGGCTGTCGTTTCACTGCTGAGTTATCGGTCTCCCCGAATAATTAATGCTTCAAGACTGTGTACAGTAGTGCAGCTGCATGAAAATATCCAGACCTCTTGTCTTTCTACGGAAAGGAAAATGCAGTCGGATTGTCTTAAACTGTCTCTCAAAATGTGAGATGGGATGGGATCAGGTGCAAGCGTGCACGCGACATGTGCAGATCTGCTCCCCTGAGTTTAGCTCATCTACCTGGGTACCTATACAAAGAGGCCAACTTTATCTCTGCATTTTTTGGTATTGGATGGTGCATCTACCGTATCTGTCATTCCTCCCCGAGTCTGGAGTGTACGATGGAATAGCAGAAAATGTGCTTTGTACGGCGTATATCGGTTTCAAAAGAAAGCGACGCAAGAATAGACCGAGATGAGATTCCAGGAAAAAGTTACCTTGGTGTATGCCTTCCTAATACAAATGTTGTGAATCCGCTTCTAAACAGCCTCACATCAAGCAAGCGCGATTGATTTAGGGGTTAGATCACATGACTGATAAGGCTAGCGTCGTTCGCCTAGCTGATAGAAAAAAATATTCTACTGCAAGCATTGCAAGCCGAGATCTCAAGAATCAGGAAAGCAATTTAATCGCAAACCATCAAAATGGATTCCGCAGATTTGCATAGCAAAAAGCGCAAGAGAAAGCACGGTAGCTCTAAATCTGACCAGCCAGAAGCTACTATCTCCACCGACGATGTTGCAATCCCAGCGGTGAAAGCTTCGAAATCCAAGCACGACAAGTCGCACAAGAAGGCCAAGAAGGCCCAGGAATCTGATGAGGAGGAAGAAGAAGGAGCGACGACCTTGAAAACTTCAAAGGCGCATAAGAAAGCCAAGAAGGTTCCTAAATTAGAGGAAGAAGAGGACATTTCCAATGAAGAGATACCCAGCGACAATGAGAATGGAATGGAGGAAAATGAAGAAAATATGGCCGAGGTAGAGGACGAGGCAGATGAAGCCAATGGGGAGGCAGATTTAGACGAAGAAGCTATCCCAGGGGCCGGAGCATTGTCACTCCCTACCACTGCTGGTGAACAACCGAAGAAATTCTCCGATTTGAACCTTTCCGACAAGACCATGAAAGCTATTGCGGACATGAAGTTCGAAACAATGACAGAGATCCAACAGCGAGGCATACCACCATTGCTAGCAGGAAGAGATGTTTTGGGAGCGGCAAAGACTGGATCGGGAAAGACGTTGGCATTCTTGATCCCCGCGATTGAGATGCTCAGCGCACTGCGATTCAAGCCTCGAAATGGAACCGGTGTTATTGTTGTATCCCCCACAAGAGAACTCGCTCTACAAATCTTCGGTGTTGCAAGAGAGCTGATGACATACCATTCTCAAACTTACGGCATACTCATGGGAGGTGCTAATCGAAGAGCTGAGGCGGAGAAACTTGGAAAGGGTGTTAATCTTATCATCGCTACACCAGGTCGACTACTAGACCACTTGCAAAATACCCAAGGATTTGTTTTCAAGAATCTGAAAGCGTTGGTTATCGACGAGGCGGATCGGATATTGGAAATCGGATTCGAGGATGAAATGAGACAAATTGTGAAGATCCTACCAAAAGATGAGAGACAATCCATGTTGTTCTCCGCAACCCAAACCACGAAAGTTGAGGATCTGGCGCGGATATCGCTGCGTCCTGGTCCGCTATACGTCAACGTCGATCACCAAAAGGAACACAGTACCGTCGAAGGTCTAGAACAAGGTTACGTGGTCTGTGATTCAGACAAGCGATTTCTCCTCCTCTTCTCCTTCCTAAAGCGCAACCTGAAGAAGAAAATCATCGTCTTCTTCTCCAGTTGCAACTGCGTCAAATACCACGCCGAGCTGCTAAACTACATCGACCTCCCAGTTCTCGATCTCCACGGCAAGCAAAAGCAAGACAAACGCAGCAGGACTTTCTTCGAGTTCTGTAACGCGAAGCAAGGCGTCCTGGTCTGTACTGATGTTGCAGCAAGAGGTTTAGATGTAAGCCCCCCTTTTCAAGCTGTGTCTAAGCAAGTTTCTAACACTACAATAGATTCCAGACGTAGATTGGATTGTGCAATTTGATCCGCCAGATGATCCTCGCGACTACATCCACCGCGTTGGTCGTACCGCCCGCGGCGCCAACGGCAAGGGGCGTTCCCTCATGTTCCTCCAACCCTCCGAAGTAGGCTTCCTGTCGTACCTCAAAGAAGCCAAAGTCCCCATTGTCGAGTTCGACTTCCCCGCCAAGAAGATCGTAAACGTGCAGTCACAACTGGAGAAGCTCATCTCGCAAAACCACTATTTGAACCAGAGCGCAAAGAATGGATACAAGAGCTATATCCAAGCATATGCTAGTCATAGCTTGAGAACGATTTTCGATGTCAATAAGTTGGACCTGGTGAAGCTGGCCCGCAGCTTTGGCTTTTCGGCGCCGCCGAGGGTGGATTTGGTGCTGGGGGCTGGGTTGGGGAGGGATAAGAAGACGCCGGGGAGGAGGGCGTATGGGAGTCAACCAAAGCAGGGGGGGAGCTTTAAGAAGAGGGGTACTTATTAAGCAGTTGGATGATGGGCTTGTGATACCTTCCTTGCATTTGCATGCTGGCGTTATGTGAATCCTTACTGTATTTACACCTGGCGTATGAGGGCAAAAGAATGACAATTCAGTAACCGTCGCGAATCAATAGAGGCCCACGTACATGCATATGTTTTCAATGTGCCCTGACATAGCATACTCAAGCATTTCCCATCATCCTTCATTCTGGTCCAAATATCGATCATGCAAGGGCGTCGATGTCTTATATATTATTTTGTTACACTAGGTTGTTGGCAGGATCTTCGTGAGCTGAGCTGCTTGTTCCGGAGTTGTGGAAGAGAAGTGGGTGGGTATATGCAGTCAAAACAGGTAGTACCTGATGTGGAATCTTTTGCGAAGAATGGAAGTGGCAAGAGAAATACTATTAGTGCCCACAAGGAACGAGGAAAGGGCCAAGGTACAATATGTGAGACTTGTCTCTTGATTTGTTTATTTATTTATTTATTTGTCTACCTTATGCCGAGCAATTATTTAAGCCTGCATTCAAGCTATATTTGCAGGAAAGGCTATCCACTAAAATATATATTTACAAGCAATCCAGGAGAAGACCTGAATATCTTTTGAGACCGACCACTGTATCCGACCATGTATGTCCCAAGCTTTTGCTATACATTATTACAATAACAAATCATCCCTTTTGATACGCCAATTCCCTGGAAGCAACAAATGTAAAATCGAAGACGCAGGTTTTGTGCAGTCATTTTGGCATCAATAATCAATGAGCGGCATTCGTTGATGGCCTGCCTCGAGGTCTTCCTCGGCCTCTCACAGCGCGATTTGGTGCTCCTCTTCGTGCAAAAGATCCACCGCCCCGAATGGCCTTATATCCTGGTCGGACTGCTGGAATACTCGCATCAGAATCGGAAGAAGAGTCGTCGTTCAAAATGGGTCCTTGGGACTTGGGTTCCGGACGGTTGATTTCTGGCTCGTCCGATGTGTACCCTTCTGATTCTCCTTCAGATTCACTGTCTGGACTACTCAAACGCACAACCGTCGGTCCTTTCTTTACTGGCTGGGCAGGTTCTTGTAAGGCTGGAGTGCTAGTAATACCATCTGACAATGTGACGGGGCGCGAAGATGCTCTAACAGTGGACAGATTTGGAGTTCCATTGGATATTCCAGCTAGTTGCTTAGATTTTGGGGCAGCCAGCGTACTGGCTAGTTCGTTGGCTAATTCATCTGACAGACCAGCAGACAACCGTACTGTATGCTGTGGCACTCGTGGGTCTGGACTTCCGGCCGCGCTATTGGACAATTTTGCTGCACCAGAAGCTGCAGTCGGAGCTATTGAACTCACGCTGTTCGACCTCATTAGCCTGCTGATGTCGTATACCTGGTCATCCTCAGAACTGATTGGGCTTGGGCTCCTAAACGCGGGGATTGCAACCGACGGAGTACTGCGTCCAGTTGATGGGACAGGAATGGCAACTGAGAGCGTATTACGAGCACTTGGGGTGTTGCGTGCACTTGATGGACCGGGAGTTACCTTGATCGACTTGCGCGCCTTTGCCGCAACAATTTTGAGGCCCTTTCCTTTCGCAGCAAGTTTCTCCCTCAGCGAAAGCATCTTGGGCTTCGCTGTAGAATTCGCCATATCTGGTGACGGTGATCTAGCCTTTGCTTGCTTGGGCGGCCTGCCTCTGCGTTTTGGTGTATGCTTCTCAGTAGAACCTGCCTCTGCCAATTGAACACCGGGATGGTCTTTAGAAACGCGCCACTTAATGCCTTCGTCGCCATTTGTCTCTGTCTCGGTCGGCTTTGCGTTCTTCTTTGGGTAGAAATCCCCGTCCTCGTCATCCAGCAGACTTTTCTCTCCCTCAACCGGCTCACCAAAGAGGCTATCTGTTTCAGAATCGGCATCGCTGTTGCCTTCCGAGTCAGATGTAATGTCGATGATCTTCGTAGTATTGTCCTTGCTGGCTAAGCTTCGACGAGTCCTGGATTCCTCGGGCAGGGCAACTCCGGACTCTTCGGCTTCCTTACGTGCAAGCCAGGCTGACTTTCGAGGTCGGGGTTGGGGTTTGGGTACTGAAATAACAGGGGACCCGGTGCTCTTTCTCTTTCGCGGAACGGCTTGCTTCGGAGCCTTCGCTTCAGGATTGGCGAGACGATTCATCGCTTGAGCGGCGAGTTGCAAATCATCATCTAAATGATTAGCCCTAGGTCGAGGTTTGTGTTGAGAAACTGTTGAAGGACCCTCATCATCTTCGATAGGAACAGCCTCTTCACCCAAGTCGATATATACTTTAGATTTTACCGCACTGCGACGGGGTTTTCGCTGCGGACCATCACGAAGCAACACTGCATTAACCACATCGCTTTTGACAAGCGCAGCCTTCTTCGTTTTGGCAATCTTCCTCTGCTTCTTGGACGTGAAGAACTCCATATCTTCTGCATCATCACCATTTCCAGTTCCCTCGCCGAACCTTTTGCGCTTCCTTGTATTTTCCACGGGTTCGTATTGTGTGGGGATGAGATCTGAAAGCGCCAGGTTGGGATTTTGTACTGGGACTGACTGAGAGTCTTCGACAGACCCATTGGAGTTTGGGGGGTCATAAAGGATCTGATCAATGTCATTGCCTTGCCGTTGCTGATAATAGCCCATACCCATCATACGTGATTGGCCATTATGACCGAGCTCTGGGTATTCTCCATTATCGGCAAACATCGGAGCCACTGGGGCAAGTAGCCTGGATGGATAACCTGTGTTTTGGTTTTGGTTATTGAATGCATCGTTATCGTCAAGATCATAATGACCATCCATCCAGCTGTGAGAAGCATCAGGGTCATCCCCGTTAGTATGGCTTAGACCGCCATTCTCTGCCATAGCTGGATCTTGTTCGAAGAAACTGTCATAATGGCCGTTGGCATGCCCATTCGATGCTGATGTGAATCCTCCCGTATCGCGAAGAGCGGGATCGATATCATCCAAAATTTCCGGCGTCATGTTGCCGTTTGCTTCCGCTGGCGCTGCTAGGAATGGATCTTGCGGTACTTCCTCGAGATAGCTCTTATTGACGGTGTCTACGCGAGATTTATCTGCTTCGGCCTTTTCTTTCAACTTCTTCATTCTAGAGGTCTTTTGGGGACTCTCATCTTCGTCGCCGCGTAGCCAAATAAGGTTGGTTTTGGAGAAATCGACCAAGCTCTCAACGCTTCTGAAGTCTGCTACCTTTCGCGTGTCGTGGCCAAGAAGAGTGCCTTTTGGTTCGTAGGTCTTTTGGGTACCACCCTTTCTGCATTTCCCACAGGAACACATTTTCATGCATTTTGGGCACTGCCAGTCCTTGTCTTCCATGACGGTCTGGGGCATTAAGTCGAAAGCGCGCCACAATACCCCATAGCAATAAGCAAGGTTGCAGGTCGTACAGAAGGCAAGTTTCCAATTCCATTCGTGATGACAGCAGACATGACATGTGTGAGTCTTGTTCTTGATTGGTTGAAGTTTCCGTCTTGTGAACTTTGCCTTCTTCCGGTTCTTCGGACGACCGTTGTCATCGACTTCAGGCTCAACGTCTGACATACCTGGAGACGGATCCCGAACCACGGGCTTCGTGATATCTGTCCAAGGCCTGATCTTCAGCTGCTCCTGGCAAACTTCCGCGATAGCCTTCTTGCCGTATCTTTTTCTCGCCACCTCAATAGGTTGAGGAGATCTCTGGACATCAAAATGACCATCAGAATGTACGACTATATCACGCCATTTCTCGTAGTTCTCAAGCAGGACGGGCCATTTCCATTGTTCAACCCAATTCAGCCCGGAGATGCATGCGCACGAGCGCCCCATTGCGTAGCAGTCCATACAGATGTCGTAGGTATCTTCCTCCCCATTTGGCCCATGTTCGATGCAAGATTTGCAAGTGAGGAATCGATTGAAGATGTTGCATCTGCAGTACGAACATGTGACGTTAGAATCAAACTCCAGAAACTCCACGTCTGTCTCTTCCGGAAGCTTTGGCGAGAACATTTCGCTGACCAAAATCTCCGTGTATAAAGAGAATAAACGTCTAAAGTCGTCTAGCAATTGCTTTATCCGCCCATACTTCCACATCTTGGGTTCGATTGTGTCCCGCTGGAGAAGGTCATAGTACTTTACGAGAGTATAGTAAATGATCGCCTTGTTCTTGTATTGCTCATCTCGACAGACCATCCGACCACGTGGAAGAGCTTCATGAATTGCAAGCTCAAGGGTATCTACTGTTGTACGATTCCACGCTGCTTTCATGGTGCGAGTGCCTCGATTCCAGACTTGGTGCGGTGCAAGCGGTGGGATGAGGATTAGGTCTCCAGGTTTTTGTTCCACAACCCAAACATTGAAAGGGGCCTTTTTCCAAGCATTGATCTGTGCAAAATGTTTTTCAACCTCAATATCGTGACCGAGCATGGAGAGGAAGTGCTCAGAGACAAGTTCCCGTTCCTTCGTTTCAGTCATAAACCATATTGAGCTTCCTGCTTTCTCGCCATTTCGGTCTTCAGATGCCTCAACCATGATGTTGTGACCAAGACTTGCACACATCTCTCGGTGGGCAGGTGTGTAGGTACCTTCATGGCCAATATAACACATCATGTTGAGGGCTCGCATCTCAGGCGGGAGACTGCTCATCAAGTCACCTGCCGGAGCAACGCCCTTGCCATAGCGCATTTGACCATATTCGTTGGGTTCCCGGATTGCTCCATCACCACCCGTCCTCGCCTCAATACACTCGTTGAGATAATAGATCGAGTCGGGCAGTTCCTCCTGCAGCTTCTGGCCCCACATCTCTGGACAATCAATATCCTTCAGGTAAAGACGTTGCCGCTTTGGATCTCGATAGGTCGCTGAGCTGAACTGCTTGGTTAGCTGGCCCATAGATCGCAAGTAGTGGCCCATAGTCATGGGAATATCGACGCCATTCGTTAAATCGCGGACTTTCTCAGCTGTGAAATCATGGTCAGTACGCAGCTTGGTCTTATTTCGGAATACCCCTCACCTTTTGTACCCATGTTTTCCTCGAGCCAGTGACGGCTAAACAGCCATGGAGGCAGACTCTTTTCTGGCCAGTCTTCGATGACCAGAGGCTTGCCGCTCTGAATAACCACAGCAAGGACCAACGCCTCGAAACTCTGGATCGAATGCTCCTGTAACTTTTCGGTAGATAGTCTGGTAACATAATCGAAGTTGTCTGTATTCTCCACCAGCGCACCAAGATCTAGATCTGGCGAAATAGGCACAAATTGTGCTTGTGGGTGTGATGAGGGGGCCATTGTGAATGCGCCAGTTCAACTAGCTAGCTGTGATTTTGCAATTCGTTGTATGCGATCTCTAGATGTACAATGCCGCAAAAGCTGGCCAAGTAAATAGCAGCTAAGAGCGTATGAGGAGATGGATGCTCCGAGCAAAAGGTGGGCGTTGCGCTGAGGCTCAATAAAAACCAACCAGAGATTCATGAGGGGGATCGTGCTGAGTTGAGGGGAGTTGCGCTTCGATTCTGCCGTCGCAGCGCATCGGCGCACCGACTATGAAGGAAACATCACAGGTAGCCGGAGTAGATGCAGACTGGGAGAAGAGTTGGGGCTGGCCACAGTATAGACATGAAATACACGGGAAGCTGTACTGCTACCTAGTACCTATGCGAGCTATGCTATGCTACCCCAAAGGTGGAGAACTATCCGAGCTAGGCTCGCTAGCTTAGTCAAGCCTGCCTCGTCCTCGTCGTCCATAAATAAATTTGGAGTTCAAAACAAACTCACGGCGACATTTTGGGACTCAGACATGACGGAGTAAAAAAAAGAACGCAGCAGGAGGAAATTGCCCTCGTCGAATCTCTATCGCACTTTAACCCATTCCTTTGGTGAGTAGTTTATCTCTCAACCCTTAAACCGACAAATCTCAACCCCTTTTTATCCGATCCATGGAAATGATTGGAGTGGAGCCCAGCATTCGTATCTACTATGGGCCTATTGTTGTCTTATGTCGAAGCATACTTTCTCTATGTGTTAATCGGGAATCGCATAATACTCAAATGTAGCAGTCAGGAGACAAGAATAAAGCTAATTGTTGCAGATTTTCCCATTTTGGTGCTACCACTCTGATGTCTCTCATTGCCTTATTCAAGCTGCCTAGTAGCTGTAGACAGTCTGTTCTACGAAATGTTACCACACATTCCCAGGTGTCGTTAAGGACCGTATTCTACCATGGCGGAGCTTCTTCAATTTCCTACCGCCAATATAAGCCGTTGGTCGCTTCTCGAAGCCAGAGAACATTTCACCAATCCATCTCAAAGACTAAGGCTGTGGCACTAGATCAAGGTCATATTTCGGTATCCAAGCCAATTTCCGGACTTCAACCTCCGGCACCTTACCAGCCACCAACTACTGGTCTACTATCAGTCCTCCCATCTTCATGGGTCCCTTACGCTGAACTCGTCAGGCTTGACAAGCCGACTGGGACCTACTACCTCTTCTTTCCCTGTCTATTCTCGACACTACTTGCAGCACCTCTGGCTGTTCCAATTGCTTCACCTCTCTCAGTTGTTGGAACCTCTCTCCTTTTCTTCGGTGGTGCACTGATCATGCGTGGAGCTGGCTGTGCCATCAACGACCTCTGGGATCGCAACCTTGATCCACACGTTACACGAACACGGCTGCGACCCATTGCGCGAAGAGCAATAACTCCATTCAAAGCTCTTGCTTTCACAGGTGCCCAGCTCTTCACCGGTCTTGGGATACTTCTCCAGTTCCCGCTCGAGTGCTTCTTTTATGCCACACCGAGTCTGCTACTAGTAGCCTCTTATCCATTAGCGAAGAGAGTAACGCATTATCCTCAGTTTGTTCTCGGGTTGACGTTTTCTTGGGGTGCATTTATGGGATTTCCAGCTCTGGGGATCGATCTCTTGCAAAATAATGCAGCTCTGACTGCTGCGGCATTCCTTTACACTTCGAATATAGCGTGGACAGTCTTGTACGATATGATATACGCACACATGGATATCAAAGACGATGCAAAGGCTGGAATCAAAAGCATTGCCTTGAGACACGATAAGCAGACAAAGCAGATTTTGAGTGGTCTTGCTATCACTCAGATCGGCCTTTTGGCAGCGGCTGGTGTTGCAGCTGGAGCAGGACCTGTATTCTTTGTTGGCAGCTGCGGTGGTGCAGCTTTGACGCTGGCTGTAATGATCAAGAAGGTCAACTTGAAAAGTGTTAAGGATTGCTGGTGGTGGTTCGTCAATGGCTGTTGGATCACTGGAGGTGTGATCTCTGCTGGGCTTGGGGCGGAATACCTTGTTCAGTACTCACATAGGACGGATAGGGGAGTCGAAGCGAAGGTTGGATAAAACTGTTTAGATGACATTACTAGGGGTCCATTGCAACTCAATTCGAAATGAAAATTGAAAACGCAGCTTTAGCTTTCGATATCACGTAGCCAAGTCAAGTCTAGATTAAATGCAGCGAGCAGAATACTTGTTGGTTTTCAACTTCGGAAAGGATTTGGAGAGGTTTATGGTACTTGGAATAGTGTGTTGTGATAGCACAGATTATGCCAGGTACGGTACGGTACAGTAGTCCATCCACCCTTCCCGGCATTATTGAACGCCCAGACGCCCCACTTCGGCACTTGAAAGGGTCTAGAGGGGTCGTGATCATGCGGTCATCATAGCTAGAAAGTACCTAGGTACAGTATAGAGCTCGAGGAGCTACTCTCTACTGTACACGCTTTAAGTATCGCGTGTACCTTGACAAAGAATCTCGCCTTTGTACTTTCGTACGTAGAGAGTCTCGAGCCGAGATCTCCGACCTGAGCTCGCTCCAGCTTGATTCTGAGGCGATCCTGACGTATGCGGCTGAAGCTGCGAAATCGTCCAAGCTTTGGTGACAAGTGCACTGATGAATAAATACCTTAAGACGCTATGGAGTAGGCAGGTCAAACAAATGTGAAAAAGAGCATATACTCCGCAGAGAGAGCATGGAAGGAATGATGGGTAAATAAAGTACGACATACCATACCTTACGTAGGTACATCCAGGGATTCTTCAGTCGGCGTTTCTCACTTCATCACATTGGTTGCCGGGCGACACAATCCCCTGTCTGCCTTTCCCCTCCAACGTCTCACAGTAAATCTCACGGTATCCGACCCAACAATCGTATGTCCAAACAATTCCATGCAAACAAACAAGAAACTGTACTCGCACTACACTACTATTGAATTCTTACGTCCAACGCTTCTAGATCATATCATCAGCGCATCATCGGGTGTTTTACTCGAGCTTTTGCTGCCCGCTATTCAAGTTCCGGCTAAGCCTATGACGTTGTAGAGTCACGGTTCAGCGCCCCCACAAGCACAAACAAGCATCATCATCAATCATCTGGAGCGCTTCCTTCTCTCCCTTCAATCCCTTAAAAACACCCACACCCACACCCACACTCACCCCACCCAAGCATCCAAGTCCCCTTAATTCACTACCTACCTACCCCCTACAATACCCTCTAGGATAGATACCTTCAACAACAACAACATCCTCGCCGTCTCATCATACCACCAACAAGCAATCAGCTCACTTTTATACTCTCAACTACACCATGGCCAGCATTCCGCAGATCGCGCTCCGAGCGTGGACTTTCCTCTGGACTCTACTTACTCTGTCTTTGATTGGCAATGTCATTGCTGATGCCTTTTCCGGAAATCCGTCAGTAATCAATTATGCGATATTTGTCTCAACTTTCTGCATGCTTGTGGTTCTCTTCGGTATCGCGGGAATTTTCGTCGAAAGCTTGGCCATTCCAATTGCGGTTGCGGTCGCTGATGTTCTTGCTGCTCTCTTCTCGGTCATCGCTGGTATTGCCTTGGCCGCTGAGCTCCATGTACACAGCTGTGGCAACAAAGTGAGTTTGTTTCTTGACACAACACTTTTTGCATCATGCTAATCCAGTCGCAGCATTACCTCGCATCCAACCATCTAACCAATGGTTCTCACAATATGGGTAAGCGATGCCACGAGCTTCAAGCCAGTACCGCCTTCTACTGGTTCATGTTCGTCGGATTCGCTGGCTCGGCTGTCTTCGACCTTATAGGCTCAGGAGCCTCTCTTCCCAGACGTGGTGGCATGCGCAAAGGTGGGCCATCCATGTCCCAAGTCTAGAGAACCAACAGGTATGCGGTCCGATCTATCTATATGGCTGCTTATTCTGTCTGGATCGTTGGATTGGAAACTGACACTCATTAATAGGACTCGGGGTCTGATGCAGACATCTTGTCAATCAGTGAACGCTGAAGATCCACAGTACTGCATACAAAAAATGTCGTTCAAAAATACATACAATGAGCCAGGGACTTTTGTCAAAATCATGATTATGATCTAGGGCGGCTAGGCGTTGGATTATCACTATCGGAGGGCTCGCAAACAGCGATTGATGGGGTTTTGGAAACTACTTAATATGTATATATCTTGGGGGATCAAGTGATTGAATAAGAAATAATCATGAAATGTTAAAAGCTTGAGCAACATATAGTCCATTGTGACTTGAAACCCCTTGGTAATTGTAAACACTGGCAAATAAGATGCTAGATTCTTCTGATTGGATACTGGATAATGATTCAAAATCCGGAACTTTCAATGGTTTTCATATACTCCGTAGGATCCGTTCTAAAAGTTCTCGGATCATCTACGTATCCAATGGGGAACATTATACAATATGTTTTGTCAATCACTGCAGTGTAAGAGATATTGTACTCTCAAGTCTTATTTCATAATCTCCCCTGAACTCTATAAAATGAGTTGTGTCTTACGTACTGTACACTTATGTACTCTTCAAGTTGAAATGGGATGACTCTGTACACAACATGCCAGTATGCATTGCCCATCAACAAACGCCAGCCATGCTGCTCTCGAATAGTTCCTTCCCATGATCTCAGTATTTACTCAACCCGCACTTCCCCATCATAAAGAAGCAGCAGCCTCCACAGCTCCTGCAGCTTTGAAGGCCCCTTTGTTTGTAAACCTCACTTCTACCAAATACTTCCACGTCATAAACTTGGCCCAGCCTATAATTAGAAACCAATTAGCAAAAGTCACAGTATTGTATTAAGACCACTCTTCTTATCCATCCATAACCCAAACTCCCTTCATCTCGGGTTCCACTTACTCCAATAAGCAAACTTCCTCCCAAAGTATTTCCCAGCGTATGGCACAATGACCATCGTCAGCATCAATTCCAGCTGCTGCAAACTAGCCTCCCATTCTCTCTGCGCATCGGATTCCTCTTCCGAATCCAGATCGCTGCTTGCTATAGAAGAGGGCAGGGAATCGAGATCGTCTTGGGATTCGGGGGGTGCATCTTGGATGATGTACGAGTCGGATGTAGACATTATGGCGGGGAGGAAAACGCTACCGCAGGCAGAAGTGATACATTGAGTCTTTTGGAGATATCAGAGATGCGTGAGGAAGGGCCGCCAGAGTTGTGAAGATTCCGTAGAAATAGGGTATCAGTACGTACCAATACTCGGGCTGAAGCTATCCGAATTCGCAAAGCGGCCGAGTCACGTGCATTAATATTGACTCACAACCAGGCGAGTCACATTTATTGAAGGAGTATTTGTGCGGCGACATCTCTTCTTTGAAGAGACCTTACAACACAAGCACGCATTCCGAGAAAAAATTGGACTCATCCATAAAGACCTTCTATTTGGACGCGTCCACATCCCCACAAACCGCAATCATGGCGAGCGAAGTAAGATCTGTTTGCAGCCCCTCACCCCACAACGATCTTAACAATTTACTACAGGAAGTGCTCACCTCCGAGCGGAAACCACGCAAGTCGGTGGCATTCAGCGAAGGAACCACAGTTGTCGATGAGAACGGCGCAGTCACAATGAAGGAAGATGGTCACGATGACACCAAGGACACGGCGCTATCGCATTCCCCAAGTACGCCGCCACTCTCCCAGGCTTTAGGGGCATTTACTGACCCGTTCAAAGCCCTCAACGACGAACCCAAGAATGACGAGGATGACGTCGCCAATATGTTAAAGAGCATGAAGAAAAAGAAGAAGAAGACCAAGACGGAGGACGCTGATGCTGATGCTGAAGGTGGCGATGCCGAGGCTGCTGCGGCGGATGGCGGTTTAGACCTTTCAACGATGAAGAAAAAGAAGAAGAGCAAGAAGCCCAAGGAAGGTACCGAGGATGAATTCGCGGCCAAGCTTGCAGCTCTCGAAATTGAAGGCAACGAAGGCGAAGGTGAAGCTACACCAGCAGCGGCCACACCGGTTGAGGATGGCGATATGGAGAAGGGCACTGGGATCTGGGCACACGATGACACCAAGGCCATTAGTTACGAACTCCTGCTCTCCCGTTTCTTCACCCTGCTTGCACAAAAGAACCCAGATCACGCCTCGAGCGGCTCCCGAAGCTATAAGATCCCTCCTCCCCAGTGTCTGCGTGAAGGCAACAAGAAGACGATTTTCGCCAACATTGCTGAGATCTGCAAGCGCATGAAGCGAACCGACGAGCATGTCACTTCATACCTGTTTGCTGAGTTGGGTACGAGCGGTTCCGTTGATGGAAGCAGACGTCTAGTTATCAAGGGTCGATTCCAGCAGAAGCAAATTGAGAACGTGCTGAGGAGATATATCAGTAAGTCTTTACGGTTTCCGCCGCGGAGAGAGTGGATGCTAATCAGATAATCAGTGGAATATGTCACCTGCAAAACTTGCCGATCGCCAGATACTGAACTCAACAAAGGAGAAAACAGATTGTACTTCATCACCTGCAACTCTTGCGGTTCCCGACGAAGTGTTACTGCTATCAAGACCGGTTTCTCTGCCCAAGTTGGTAAGAGACGCAGACAGCAGGGTTAGATGGATTGGCATATTCCGGTCTTCATCTTGGTTTGGGCGGTTTGGGAGTCGTCTTTTCTTGCATTGGGCTTCTTGCAAAAATAAGCACAGTACATAAGAGCGTTATGTAGGAAATTTACTCTTGCGAATGGGATACCCCTTCTCTGCCCTGCTGTGATACCCTTCAAATACCGTATCTACACATAGAAGCTCCCACTCCGTTTATACCACCTGATCTTGCCATATAATGCCCTACTAATGTGCGCGGCGCCAAGTTCTAAGCGCCCTCAGAACTGGTATGCTTACAATCTGCAAAGACATGTTATTGGGCGGGGTATCTGATTGGCGCTCAAAAATAGACACAGCCCCGCCTTTTATGCGCCGCCCAGGCTGGGCTGCTGGGAGCTCTTCTGTTTGCGCGGAGCTATTTCTTTGTCCTTATTTTCCATTTCATCGCTTGATTGTGCGCTATTTATGATTGAAAGGGAAAGAAGGATTGACAAACTGAACTTTTTGCACGGAATTTGAAGGATATCTTGGGTAGCGAACACAGGTGGGCAGAGAAAGCTTTCGGGGAGTGCGGGGTCCACGAGGCTGACAAGTGCTATCAAGGTTGTATCGACCAGACCTTAAGATCAGAGTATTGGACTGCTCCGGATTCCTTTCACCTATCATATCTGCAATCACCCAGCCTGTGAACTACTATCACAATGTCCAACTATTATCCTCGTAAGTACCGCACGCAGCCTTGCCTAGAGAACCCTTTGCTAACCCTCCATCAACAGCTCCTCCAGGAGGAAACAATGGAGGTAAGCTTATAGTCCAGCTCTCATCTATCCACAGAGCTGATTGAAAATCCATAGCCCAGCAACAACACTATGCTCCTCCTCCCTCATCACCACCACCAACCCAAACCATGCATTCCCAAGCACAGTACTATCCACCCCCACCACAGCAGTCCTCCCCATCACAAGCAGGACAATACGCACCACCACCCCAAGCAACCCCGCCCCAGCAACAGCAATACGCACCTCCTCCACAGGGTTTCTCCCACCGCGCATCATACCAGCAGCCAGCCCCAGTAGCAGCCGCTTCAACCGCATATGAGCAACCGCCTCCATCGGGCGGACACGTTGGACACCACGAATCAGACTATCCCCCTGATAAACCCGCTCTCGACACTAGCCAAATCACGAATCTTGATCACGGAGCTCCGGCAGCTACTCATTTCGTAGGCGCGAGTACCACGCAGGATGATGTGGGGACGTTCAATGGAGGAAGCTATAGGATTAGCCATCGGGATACGAATAGTATATTGACCTTACAGTTGGCTATGGGTTGTCCCTTGACTGTTAAGCCTGGTAGGTCCCAGTACTTCCAAGTGAAGTTTTGATGAATTTGGGAGACTAATATATACAGGTGCCATGATCGCAATGACTCCAACTATAACGCTCAAAGGCACCGTAAAATTCTCCATGAAGAAGCTCATTGCCGGTGGAGAGATGGCCAACTCGACGTATACAGGCCCCGGAGAACTGCTCCTGGCTCCCGCGTCGCTGGGTGATATAACGAATATCCGCCTTGGAGGGTCAGAGCAGTGGAGCGTAGGACGGGATGCGTTTCTGGCGTGTACGCAGGGGGTGATCAAGGAATACAAGAGGCAGGGGATTGGAAAGGCGATGTTTAGTGGGGAGGGTTTGTTTGTGTATAAGATGAGTGGAAATGGGCTGCTTTGGATTACGAGTTTGGGGGCTATCATAAGGAAAGATGTAAGTTTGATGTTCGTTCCACTGGGTGAAGAATATTCTGATGAAAATAGCTTGCGGATGGAGAGAAATACATTGTTGACAATGGACACCTGGTGGCTTGGAACACTAAGTATATCCTTGAGCGAGTAGCTTCAGGGGGTATTATCTCGGGATTGTCTTCTGGAGAAGGCTTGGTGTGCAAGTTCACTGGACCAGGCACTGTGTTTATGCAGACGCGGAACCCTGTAAGTCTCTTTCAATCGAATCTGGGGTCTTTTACTAATTTTAGCAGGTTGCATTTGGGCAGTGGATGTCTGCTCATGCTACAGTTGCATAAAAGGATAGTATTTACGGCCTCGGTATTTATCGTTTAAGTATGGTTACTCTTCTCTCACCGATTTGGATTAGGCAATTCGCAGCGTAGGTAGTTTTCAATAAAAGAACCTTTCTCTTCTCATGCCACGCTTCTTCGTTCCTTCCTCTCAACGTTGTCGGATTGACGAGTTTCCATGACTTTTCAGTCGCGCTTTCCTTCCCCTTTCTTAATAAGCGATCACTCTAGCTCGGTGTACATAATGCAACCAACACACCTTCTCTTTCCCTCTCTCAACAACAAGACATAGCGCAGCATTATCCATACTTGCTCCTATCCACCACTCCGTGGACCAGCTTTTGGAAGAATCCTTTCACGGAACCTTATTTGTATATCTTCATGAGCGAAGGGCCCTACATAAGCGACGCTGAATTGGCAGAAGCAGAGGCTAGGTTGGCAGAAGCAAAGGCCACACTGGAAGAAGCACAATTGCTGTTAATAGACGATCTCGTAGGGTACTTGACTCGGAGATTTTGGCTAGAAGAGCGAGAACACGCATCTCGAGAACGATTAAACCGTGACAGTCGAACTCCGCGGCAACTTGGTGCTCCAGATAGAGGAACACGGCTGGAAGCTCGATGGGCGCATAGCAATCTCATTACCACGATCGCAGGAGGATTCGGGTGCAATGTACGTCCCATAAAAGGTTCTGCAGGACGAGAGCTGATCTAGAACCATAGTTCACATCTCTCAGATAACAGCAGCGCAGCCTCTCCATAGCGAGCTTACCAGCACTTGGGGATCCTGGATCAGATACATCATCGTCAAAGACATCAGAAAAAGCTTCTCGTCTTGGAAGTCTGTTTTCCGGTGGCGATCCTAAATCCATCGAACGACCAACTCCAGCTGGACGTTACCTGGATCAATCAATTTATACAGCCCAATTCGATATGCCGACCAAGATCGAGAATCGCCCAGCTTGGGCAGCACCCCAGGCAGCACCATACAAATCCATCAAGAAGGCACTCAAACCATCGCGGAATCAGACGCCTTCTCGAGTTACTCTGCGTACTGCTAAGCCAAAGCCTGGAGAATCTAGCAAAACTGCCACTACAATTCGCATCGCTGTTGATGACCCGATGACTGTCAGTCTGCGGAAGCATGCCACGAAGCATCCCAACGCTTTATCTGGCCCTCGTAGAGTCTTGACCCCTGTAACAATAAGACACCCCAATACAGTTTCACCTCGCGCTCACAGAGTCTTGACGCCAATAACAATCAACCAGCCCAGTACTCGCAGGCAAACAAAAACTTTGTCCGAAGATTCTGACGGTGGACAAATTGATGAATTGGAAAGGAAATCCTTGTCCAATAACGCCGGCGACGAAAACCTAGAAGACAGGATCCGGTCAGCTTTGAGCACACCTCTAATTATTGGCAAGACAAACACACCAGGAAGCATTAAGTCCGTCAGATGGGATCCTGCAATCATATCCTGCGGTCCCAGCTCACCAGTTCCAACTGCCAAGGTCGAGAGTAGTAGATTGGCCCAGTCACAACCACAATCACAACCTGTTTTATTGCCTCCTGATCGTAGAGATGTATCTAAAGATTTCATCCTGGAAAGCCTAGCACGATTGAAGAAACGAGACAAAGATACTCTTCGGAAGATTATTGAGAAGCTCAAGGAGATAGATAGTTCGGATGAGCTCAATGACGAGCCCGACTCAGCGGAAGAAGATAGCGGGCCTGCATCAGACTACAACCTGGCGCCAGTTGCTGAAGCTATGCCTGGTCGAAGATACGCTACGCTTAAAGCTCAACAGGCCCAGCAGAAAGCACGCGCAAATCTAGGGAGGGCAACACTTACAGTTCCAAGAAGACGCCCTCATGCTCAAGTGGATAACGCTTTTCCACAGAGAAATCCACAAGAACCTACTTGGGTTAACATCTTCAATCCGCCACCACATTCAGCATTGCCCCATGATTTTCCTGCTTTCCCAGAACCTGCTCCAAATATTTTGCCGCCAAGTTTCACACAGCCACCCCCAGAGTATCATCCAACTCTTCGATTGCCACCTGAACCATCCAACAATTTCTGGAATGAGGGCATCACGGGTCACCAGATGCCGCTTCCCAATAGGTTGCCAAATGGACCGTTCGCTCTTCCGGCCCATCTAATGGATCCCCCTCAGCCTGTATGGCCCCCAATGCCAACCCCCCCATCATGTAGTATGGAGAATCTTCCGCAGTTTGGGTATTGGGTCAATCCATTTGGTTTTCAGACTCAGCAGTCCCCGTTTCAACCTCCCCCTAATTCAGCCACAAGCCGCGCTCCTCCAACCATCTCTCGTCGTCAATTCAAACCCAAGGGTGGCAGAGGTCCCTTAATTGACGTTGGGCCAGAGTTCTTACCTTCTGAAGAAGGATCGGGCCGCGAGGCTCGTGCTATTGAGGCAGGTTGGGCCAAGTCCTTGTTGGCCAAATTTCAAGAGAAATACCCACGGACTGGAAAAGTCAAGGAAGGACCCTCGGTTCCAGGCAAGATGCGTGAAGCTGCAGCAATTCAGCAGCGTCTTGAGTTCATACTATACCATGAGAAGGAGAGAAGTGCTGAACAGCGCTCAAGTGGTGGAGAATCTTCATGCTACGAGGTTGTAACGGGTGACAAGATTGCTTTATCGGACAATGAAAAACCGGTCAAGGACAAGGATAATGTTTCGAGCGAAGAATATGTGTTTGTGCGTGACGGGAGAAAACCTATGGCACAGTATGCGACAGGCATTCGGAAGGAAGACCCAGAAAATGGCCTAGATGAGTCGTCGGATTCTTTCAGCCTTGATCCTGAGCTTTCGTGTGCAGTATGAGTACTACTTTGATGGGGAAGTTAGCAATAATTATCAGGTTCCGTGTATACATATAAGTATAGGAACTGTTTGGGAAGAGAGCATTGGTATACGAGCTTTACATACAACACTCGAGTTTTGTTTTTATCATTGTAGCCGTGGCGTAGGAATTAAATTGAATTGGAATTTTGAATCTCAAGAAAGGGTTACAGTACTTGTACTTGTACTTATACTTGACTCCTGAGTCTATTTCGGGACAAACCCTAAAGCGGCCGCACGGGGATGTACCTGCATTAAAGCGCGTCAACCTCCTCGAAGTTCACGGTCCAAGTTCTCAAAACCCAAGCATGCCAATAACCCTCATCTTAGCCATCGCCATTGAACCTTCTTACAATGGCGACTCCCGGAAAGCACCTCGTGGCGACTCCTCCAGTCTCAACGCCCTTCTCTAACCACCCCTCACATCCCCGCTCCGTCGTTCCTTCCCCACAAACAGTCAAGAAATCACCCGCGAACCCCAACTTTTACAGCTACGGCGTTGGTGTTGGGTATGATAGCCCAAGCGTAGCCATGGCATTAGGCGGGCTAGGACTGGAAGGGATGGGGATAGGAATGGGGAGCGGCAGAGCAGACGAAGACGAACGGCGGCGCAGACTTGGTACCGTGATGGAGATACTACAAGACAACAAAGGCCGCCTGAGCGAAGCCGGTATGGAGAGACTGGCGCGGCGCGTTGGGTTTGAATGTCTCTGGGAAACGCACATGGGCAACGGCGGAGGGAGGACCCTGATCATCGCCGGCTCAGCCCTAGCTCTCGACATCGATTTCACAAACAACGCGGTTAAGAAAGTGGCGCTGTCGTTTCCGGAGTCTTCGGAAGCTGTTACGAGGCATTCGGAAAAGGCGGGCGATATATTGTTGCGGGATCTGCAGTTTGGGCCGGGGGAGAGCCCGTTGACGAAGATGCTGGATCGGTTTGCGGGGAATCTGGAGAGGTTGGCGCAGCTGGATAAGTTGAGTGTTATACCGGGGTTGAATTGTCATGAGGCGATTGCTGGGATTTATGAGAGTTTGGAGAGGTTGCATGTTTGGGAGGTAGAGAGGTTGAAGGAACAGGCGGATATGGCTGGGAAGGATAGTGCCTTTCTTGAGAGGACGGCTTTGTGCACGAAGAGTGGGAAGCCGGCTATGCATACGAGAGATAGACTTGGACTGAGTATCGATTATTGGCAAGATAAACGGCAAGTCGCAGGGAAGGCGCCCAAGCTGGAACAACAGAAGACTTGGTCACTCTTGGTTGAGTGTGCTCCTTTGCCTGCTATGGTGTTTCCGCCGCTACGAGTATCGCAGAATTGGATATCTACAGACATTCAGAAGGTCAATCCTCCTGTCGAAGACGCCATGTTTCTCGACGGACCCATATTAGATTGGTTGGAGCCTGACAATACCCTGCTTCCGTCTTCAGTGTCCGCCAAGCCGGATGCAATGGAGGGTATTGAACAAGCTTCGAACCAGAAGGTCCCAGAAGTCATGTTTGTCGCCAAGTTTGATCCTCCTTTGATTGTGCCAATGGGGCTTGCAATGCAAATCTACGACTCTACAAGCGCAGCTTTAGATATGTCTCAATTGAGTACATTCGATGGCCTCCTGTTTCCTCATGGGCCAAATGAACCTACCGAGCCGTCGGAAGCACGAACTATCAAAACAGAGACTGATATCCCAGTATTTGATAAGAACGGAGAAAAATCTACACAGACTCATACGAATACTCTATTGATTGATAAGATCGATTATGGGCGAAATCTAACAGATCTTCCCTTTTCTCATCCGAGGCAACTGGTTGAGATGTTACCTGCGCTTCGACAATATGCGTTCCTTTCGACCGTTCTTCAGAAGACATTCGGACCGAATTCGAAATCTCCCTCGAAAGAAAAAAGTCCTACGAAAAGTAAGAAAGACGAGTTTGCGGATTTCATGGCTCGGATATCGACTCCAAATAGAAGCTTTCGGATGGATGTCCATCTAACAACCCAGCCTCTTCTGAAACTACGGCTTGCTTTCCCGTTCAAGAGGAGAGTAGCAGATGTGACTTTTGAGATAAAGCTTAACGGGGTCGTGGAGGTAGCATCGCAGAATTTGTTCAATGAGGACAAGAATCCGGGCGAGGCGAATGGGCTGAAAGCTGCTGATTTAGGGAGGATGTTGGAGATTACAGAAGACTTGGGAATCTGGGCTGAATTTGTGAAAAGGCGTTTGGAAGGATAAAAATATACCCATAGCATTTGATTATATTGACATTTGACTAAAACAACAGAGACTAAAATATCCTAAAAGGATTGATTCTTGGTTAAAAACTACCTAGGTCTCTTACTTTTATTGACCGCACCGCGTTCCACATTCGCTTAATAATTGGTCTATATATCGCGCTCAAGTGCGGGGTACATACCCCCGCTAATGAGGCAAGCAAAAATTGGCAAAAAAATATTAATAACATTAATGGAGTCGAACCATCTATGTTTTCAATCCAGATGATTAGATCTGGCTGCCATTACTGGCGGTGCTGGGAATCGAACCCAGATTGAAACGGGTCAGCATGAATAATCCTAAGAAGGAGCACCACAACGTCACGTGCTACCATTACACCACACCACCTTGTGGGTTGTTTTGTTGCTTAGATGTGCTATTTTGATCTATACAGGTAATAGGCTCAGATGGGTGCGGTGTGAGACGAAGGTGTGGTGGTGTAATGCTAATCTTATACCACACCACCCCTGTGCAATCGGTAATAAAATTTCACGTAGCTGAGCGGGCTCGGCGGGGTAAAAAAATATTTCTTATGCGCTATTTTTCTCTTCTTCTAATTCTAAAGTTTATTTCTAATACACGTATTATCTATCCTCTTTATGTTTTCCTATTGGTAATTCAGTATCTGAAATACGAATGTAATCATTTGTCCTTTGGTTCTGTGAGCACCTTCTACCTCATGACTGATGACTTGTCTTAGAGATGTCGCAGAACCAAACCACTCCTTTTATCAACGCGCAGCGCCTCCTAGGCAGGGTATGCGCCAAATCGAGGTCTTTATTATTCTTGTAGGTAATATCGAATAGTCTGGATTGGAGATTGTAAGCAATAGGTCCCGGTCCATGATCCTGGCGCGCAGTCTTCGTGTTCGGCGCAACTAAGGTAAAAAGACAGAAGATAATAAGTTCGATTTTCAAGGTATATTCAAAGGATTAATCATAAATGTCGGATTGCAGAAAAGTATATCGATCTACTAGCTAAGTATCTCATCCTATAACATCGTTCCACCTCTATTATATAAACGTGGTTCTTGGATTTCGTACCTTGTGCTATTTTGAACCACTTGCGCACATTTGAATATGGTGGAGCACTATTGAAACCCCTGCTAAAAGGAACTGAAATCTGTAATGTAGTAAGCTCTCCTGTCTGCCAAACTTCATCATCTGTATACTAGTTGCCAGTTGTATATATATCACATACCTCTTTCGTTTTCGTTAAATTTATTTGCCCTATTGTATAGCACAGCCCTTTTCTTTTCTAGTATCTTGGATTACCATTCTTTTGCTCTGCTTGATTTATGCTTGTAACGAATTGTGTTATCTTTCTTTTCTTTAAAGCTGCTTCTAGGGTGAATTTTATCTTGATTAGGAGGTTCAGGTTCAAATGTCTCTTGAATAGGAGCAAAGTTTCGTGACTCGCTTAACGTTAGGAGGTGGACTCAGCCTCGCCGTCTTAATCTTGCGTGTAATTCAATTGCATCCTGACGCCTCAACATCGACACTCGACAATTTCTAACACTCCCATATCATACTCACTGTCTCGGATCCTACAACTCTCTCCTGTCACTTTTCTACATTGCTACCTCTATTTACCGCGTTCGGCGCCCTTTCCTATTGCCTTCGCCGCTCCCTATGCCGCCATGAATTGGACAGGAGGCCGGCTACAGCGGGCCTCTGGTCCAGCAGATATTGGAACTACTCGACAGAAACAACACTTTGCAAAAGCCAAAGCTAACATCTTGAAAACAAATCTGCAGAAGGCGAATCTCTTCAATGGGTTTAAGATAACTCCCACCAAGGAGCAGTTTTCCGATGGGTTACAGGAACACATCCACAAAAGACCACTGTGGTCCACGAGACGGCTTGCTGAAATTGCTACGTTTCAAGACCGCGACGTAAGAGCAAGCACAGATCCCAAGAGACGCGCGACCGGCCAGCAAGCCATCCCAGAAGTCGGCGGCGAGAGGAAGATCGAGCCTCGCAATGGAGCTTTCAACAGCAATAGATACCGTGGGAGACAGCCTAAGGCCCATAAACGGAGATCTGACGATAATGGAAATAGGAGCATTCGCCAAGTAGTGAACGAAGCTCAAGACCAATCTCGATCCCCTCGATTGTACTTAACGAACAGCAAACAAGATTCTAGACGTACCTCGCAATTCTCATCCTATGTCGATGACTCTCCTCACTGCGCACCATCAGTACCAATAAAGAAAGAGCTAGCTCTTGATGAAGATCTCTACGATGCAACGCCGCCCCCGCGTCACGGCAAACAAAACCGCCAGATTACAGAGCAGGTATCGGATCCTGAAAATCAAGGAGTATCTGATACGGAGGAAGCATTGATATTAAAGAGACGCAGATTGATGCTGAAGAGCGACTGGATTGGGGTTGGGTTCCAAAGACCACCTAAGCATACATTTGTCGCCGTGGGACAGCAGGACAAAGTTGCCAAACGCAGGAGAATAACGGATGGCAATCATGCGCGATATAATAGCAGACAGGCCATCATTACCTCTCCATTCTTGAAGAGAAATCGGGCACCCTTGATCGAGCCAGAGAGCGCACGCCGGTCCCCAAGAGCGAACCTTGGGAGGGCTGATGTAAGAATATCTATTGGAGGAAAAGAGGTCCCACCAGGCATCAGTTCGAGTTCAGTGCACAGCAAGGAGATTCATCATCAGCGTAGAGTTTCAGTTGACAGACCTGAGACCAGTTCATCGGATGTCATGCTTCTGGATAATAAAGATGGTATTTTCTGTGGCATTGATTCTCACAGACGCTTGGAGACCAGAGAAGTGAAGTGTTATGATGCCGTTGGAGGAGAATATTATTCGTTGTATAATCATCCTGGTCTACCTGTTCACCACCATCCCATGAACGAAGCCCGTTTCAGCACGTTGCCCCAATATTCGGGTTCTCAGCATCATCGAAGCCAAGATACGAAGGATCGCCGTGTCACTAGGCGCGTATCAAGTACGAACGAAAAAGAAAGCACTCACTCCCAAGACCGACGACACAGCCAGCGAAGTCTTACATCTAGTATGGTTGGTTCTCCAAGGGGTTCGAAGAGAACGTATTCTGAGGATGTCGAGTCCAGACGCCCGGGAACCACCAGAAAAAGTACCCCAATATACACATCTTCTGTATCACTACACCACCCGAAGCCTCAGACTTCGAGGGTTCCTTCTATCCTTCGATCTGTTACCACGGATATTAATGAAAGCACCGTCGCGCAAATTGGGCGAGAAAAGCCCATTGTTCCAAGTTCTCAAGTTCTCGACAACGAGGCATGGGAGAATTGGTTAGCACCTTTACTGGCTGGTAGTAGTGAAGTGGACTATGAGCAGATGGATACAAATCAGTTAACCTCAATCAGCCCTGGAATAAGCGCAGCTCCAACCTACAGGTATGCGGATGAAAGAACACACTCGGATGTTGACCAAGAGGTGAAAAACCTTGAAAGTCCGGAACCTTATAAGGAAGACTCGTATACATCTTTCTCACCAGCGTTCCTGTTACCATTGAACCAGGCCTCAATGAGGGAGCCCACTCCTGAAATAGAGTTGAGTTTGGATGAAGCTATAAAATCTACAGATGCAAAGGAGGCCTATCAAGCCTTCGCAGATGCACATCCAACAGTGGCTCCTCCCAAATCAATACCAAAGGCTAGGGCAGTGTCTATTGTCTCTAGACATGTAGAAGATAATGATGATATATGGAAGAAATTCGTGTTTGGTAGTGGAAGTGATGAGTCTGAAATGCAATTAGCGAAATCTATTGATCCGGCGCCTGCTAGAAGATCCAAATATGCATCGCTGATGCACGCTCACCTGGCAGTTGTAAACTCAACAGAGCCAACAATCCTCGCTTCCCCCCATGCTTTTGCTACACCTGCTCGACAGACAAGTTCGTCTCACCAGACTTCGCGAATGCCGAATAGCAGCCACAGCCATTCCGAATCCAAGCGCGAGAGTTCTCGCACTGCAACGGAACCCGTCGATTCGTCATCTGCGAGGGAAGCTACGGATAGCATTCGTGCTTCTGGTGGGTCTCTTCATTCCTGGGATTCGAATTCTGGGCTCGCCACTGTAGCAGCAACTGTACTCCGTCGCTCTTCGCCGGAACCAAGACCTGCTAGCGACAATGTTGGATTCAGGATGCAGAAGAGGGTCATTTTCACGAAGCCGAAGCCGTTTGTAGGGAGCAAATCGAATACAGAATCGTCTCATGCAGCAGTAGAACCCCTGTATATTGGACGCGGGTTGGTGGGTCGGGTCGAGGGGATGGAGGGTTTCAGTAAGTGGAAGGAACGAGGGAAGGATATCTACAGCTTGATTGATTCGGATGAGGAAAGAGATGAGCTTGAATCTATCGAGGATGACTGAGATATTGTGTTGTTAGAAATCAGGTAATGGGCCCTTGAAATATTTGCTTATGAGCGAGCGTATTTTGCTCTGTCGGGAGAATGGGAATGGCACTTGGACACAATTATTAGCATCTACCATCACTACCACTGCTCATAGCTTCAAAAAATCCACATATTTAGCCAAGAATCAGGGCGGCTATACCATTGCGATGGTGGAACCTGTTCAAGGTCTCGTGCTGTTTTATATGGGTGGCATGCAACTTCTCAATCAGTATCTGCTCTTCCCTTTTCTAGGATTTCCGAGTTCCAATTTTAACCAAACAACATATTTATTATTGCGTTGAAATAATACCTAAACACCATGATCAACTTTCATATCCTCCACCCCCTTCTCAATAACCCCAGGCCCCGCCATGGCGAACTCATAATCCAGATCCGGCTGCGCCTCAGCATACAGCGCGTTCTTCTCACTCGCCATCTTGAAGTTATACGCCGCCTCCTCATCACTGACAACATGCTTCACCAACGACGGGTTTCCAGCACACGCCTGCTCGACTTGTAGCTGGATTGCGCAGCCCCGGTCAAGTAGCCCGAACATGAAGCCGGCTTCGTCGACTGTGCTTCCGGTTGAGAGGAGGCCGTGGTTGAGGAGAATTGCCACCTAGACGAGTCAGCACCAGCTGAGATACGGCTGGGATTGTTGAAGGGGAAATACCTTGTTCTTTGTTCCCAAAGCACGAGCAATATTCCTACCCTCCTCCTCGGCAAAGACAATACCGCCGTATTCTGAATACACGGCGATACTATCGTACAGATAGGTGATATCCTGGTTCAGCATATCAAGACCCTTGGAAAACACAGACCAGGCACGACCAGCGTTTGTATGAGCATGGCAAACAGCGTGGATATCGGGCCTCGCCTTATGGATTTCAGAATGGATGAGGAATCCTGCTGAATTTCCTGTCTTGGTCTTTTCCAAATATGCCTGTCAGTATCATTTCGAATCGGAGAAGAGGGAAGGAGAGGAGAAATACCCTATTTCCACCCACAACTTTCCCGGTCTTAATATCGAAGCAGATCAAATCACCGGCAGTCATGAGACCGAAGTGCTTCCCAAGTGGGTTCATCCAGATGTAGTTCTCGAATTCGGGGTCTCGGACGGAAATGTGACCGGACATTCCTTCGGTGAAGCCTTTGCGGGAAAAATCACGGAAAACGGCGGCGGTGTGAATGAGGATGTGTTTGCGGTGTTCGGCGTGGGATGAGAAAGTTGGGATTCCTTTTGAGGATGTTAGGCGAGAGGGGTGGATGATGAAAGGGGGCAGATGCAAGGAAGGGAAGTGTCTCAAAAGAGAGCGTCCATTGGAGCTGAGGAAGCTGTTTCGTGGAGGAAACAGAAAGCGAAAATGCGTTGTTCCTAGGAACTAAAGTGATGCACAATACATGATATCTCGTGTTGGCAAACAAATCTCCCCAGTCTCAATATTGGTACGCAAACATCAATGAAAGCAAGACGGTGCTATGTATGCAAAGAAGACCAACATCGATCTTACCAGGATGAATCATAGGTCCTTGACTGATAGCTTCTAAAGGCGACTTATCTTCTGCGCCATGAACATGCGTCTCAGCCTGCTTGACCTTAACCTCCTGCACCGGAGTAACGAGTTGCGTAGCCGAAGGTGCCATATCGAATTAATGAAGTCGAATAACGTATGTATATCTCTCTCTCTCTCTCTCTTTTCTTCTTCTTCAAGGCTATAAAATCATATAATATAAACAAGTTTCGGAAGAGTACCAGAAAATAAAGTAAGAAAATGACCTCTTGAACTTTTGAGCTTGAGGAAGCCGAAGCAAAGGAAATAGCTCTTCTTGATAGATATGAAATAGCTCGCGGGAAGGTGGGATAAGGCAGGCACGTGGCGCGCGCCATGCGATACGTAGTGTCATCCAAGAATGGGGGACTGATGATTGGGCCGTCGCGGAGACCTTCCTTCCCTGTGAGAGAACTGTGCGATTTGCCCAACGATTTGCGGTGGCGCTTGATTGATTGATTGATTGATGAATGAATCAATTTTGAGTTGAGGATGATATAATTAATACTTGGACTTTACGCGATGGTCCACCACCACCACCTCATGGGATGATGACCCCCTTTACGAAGCGAGAATCAACGGACTGGGATTAGACGTTCCTGTTCTTTTATTTTCTTCTTTTCTTTTTTGTTAGCTGATCAATCAACATGATATGATCATCCATTCTTGTCATTTGAAACCTGTCTTGAGCTGAGCAGTTACAGTGACAGTGACGATAACTTCAGCATTAATTAGTGTCAAATTTACCCCCTTTGTCCTTATACCGTACCAGGATATCAAATACTGTCTTCATTTGCTAAACAATTCTATGCATGCTTTTGATACCATACCTACCCCACCCACTTTCCATCATGTCCTGTGTACTTGTACTCTTTCTATTGACTGCCCCTCTTTTGGCAATTTTCCTTTTCTCGGAGTTTTCCGACGGATTAGGGATTTCCTCGGGTGTCTACGTGATGGGGCGTTTGTGCTGGACTGGGGATGTGTCAAGACTCAATAGGTAAGCTTGGATTACGAATTTGACCTTCCCGTCAAGGTGTTGAGTTGAATGTGCACCAAGCTGTCTACCACAAAAAAATGAAGGTCACTATCACGTTATGGATGAATGAACTTGTTCCATGCCCCTGAGGTTATTCCCAACTTTGTGCTCTTGCACTTCTAGCTTTTCTCTTCGTGGTTGTCTTATTTTGATGTTCTTCCAAACAGTGATAATCACAGTGATGATGCTGACGTTCACGTGGGGTATCATTTGGAAAACTCCAAGCATTCGAAGGAAAGCCCGTTTGTATCAATCTAGCCTCTCCTGAGTCCTGCAACAAAAGTCTACACTTTCCCGACACATCAGGACAATCCAGCTTACTAAAAAAAACCATAGTGATCGTGAAATCACAGCAATCTCATCAGTGCAGCAACACATACGAGCATCCAAGCTATCGCGTACGGAAAACTCAAAATAACAGAATCCTTCCTCACTCCACTCTGTGCCACTTCCCCATCCTTCACCATTGTCGCAGTTGCAGCTGGCCGTTCTGTGACTGTTTTCGTAATCGTTGCCAATGATTCTGTACCTCCAGCGCCCGAGGTAGGCGAAAGACTTGAAGCCCCAACCGTCACTACAGAAGAGCTGATAATCCAAACAGGTACTGCGTGAATGCACCCGTTCGGAGAACATATTGTATTCTCCGGGCAACATCCACCGCCTGTTTCTCTGGAGCATTCTGTTGTACCTGCCATACATACCGGCGGATTATGTGTGGAAACGAAACACCCCTCGGGGTTCAAAGCCGAGTTACAGCAAAAGATTCCTGAAGGTGATATTTCGACGGTGGTAGGATTGCAAGCTGTTCGTACTGGGCAGCAGATTGCCTGTATGCATGTGAGATTTTGCTCAAACAACCACGCGATCCGACTTACAGGCTGGCCGAACGCTTCACAACTATTCTGTTGATCGCCACAGGTATAGAAAGGAACATCCTCCCCCAACCCCGCAGAAGGCACCGAAAGACTTTTGCTCCCATTGTCGCGAATCTCGGATTTTCGAAGCGGCAGGCAAACATCTAAAGGACTTTCCACTCTTCTAGTCTTCAAGAAGCCCTGTCCTCCCATATCATGATAATGTTTATGGGCCGCAAAAAGAATGCCAACAACTATAACCGCAACAAACAAGACAGCTAGGGCCGCGAGCCAGCATAGACGATATCTAGGATAGCGGCGCCATCTAATACGGCGCTCTTCACTCGATAGCGGTGGTAAAAAAGTCGCTGGTGGCTGATTGCGAGTCATTCGAACGGGTGTGATTGGCACTGGTTGTGGTGTAGACAACGAGGAGGCGGTAGAGCTGCAGGATGAGCATTAATGTAAAGGTGGCTTGGCTAGAACGGTATATGAGGCTTTCGACAGCCATTTAGGTGTGGATATTGATGAGACCATAGGATTAATGATGGAATAATGTTTGGGGAGGATGGGTTTGGAGACAAAGATTGCATGATTTCAGATTCGAAGACATGTTGATGGAAGGAACGATGTAAGGCAAGCGCGGAAGAAGAGAAGTTTAAAAACGAATGGAGAAAAGAGTGATGAGACGGGGGCGCCTTCCCCATCCCCAGAATCTCGGCAGACCCAACTGGAAGAATTGTGTATCATAGACCAAAATATTTATTTTAACCATCAAAACATCCTACATGCATGTTTAAAGTTTACTCTTGAACTTCGCCGTCTCATCCCTCTTAACCAACACATCACTGTCAGGGTACGGGTCAATAGTGAGCCCATTAAGAGGATTCAGCTCACTAGCCCGGTAAAACATATCCTCGTAAACCTTCCCATCCTTACGACCCAAAGAAGAATCAAGCTGCCAATCAGGAAAGTGCCATGCATCCACCAACCTCAGCGCATGCGGCCTGATGTCCTCTAGCAGTTTCATTACAGTTTTGGTACGAGCGAGCTGAATCTGTCGGACTGTGACTGCAGCTGAGGAATAGAATTCAGAAGCCTCCTTTTCAAGCGTGTTCAGCGCATAGAGACGGAACAGTTTGTGAAGGACGTCGATAGTTGCGGGATCGAGCTCGTATCGCAGGCTCTCGCTTTGAAGGGCGTCGTAGAAATTCTTGACGACTAGATACTGCGAATGAGCTGTGCTAAGACGCCAGAAATCCACAAGTAAGGAATTCCATGAATTCTTCTCAACATCTCTGTGCTTCAAGGCCTCGAAAGTAAGGAACGATGTGCGCCAAGCAAAGGCAGCCACTAGATCACTGTCTGAACCTAATACATCATGAGCAGCGCCCATATCCTGCTTTTGCAAAAAAGTTGTGAAGATCTTGGTGGTATCGTTGTTTGGAGCGTTTCCTTTCAAGACTCCACGTGCAGATTTTAGCAAATAACGAGCGACTTGTTGGGTCAACATGTAGTTGTCGCCTTCCCATGTAGTCGTGGGTAGATAATCAGCATACCATGAACCTACCCCACTGAAACTGGAGTATCCATGTCCGCCCATAGCTCTGCGGCAGACCTCCAAACCCTCAGCCGCAGTAGTGCTCCCAAGAGCCTTGAGACCGCAAGATGTAGCGTGCAAGTCCGCCAATAAGTCACTTCCAGAATTGATCTCTTCGGGCCCTGCTCCTCTACTAGAGTTGGAGACTTTGGCGGCATTTGCTATCGTCTTTTGGTTCTCCTCGTATAAACCCATCATTGCCTTTCCAGTGAAGTGAAGAGCGAAAGTGGCTGCGAGCAGGGGAAGTACTGTATCATCAAAATCAGCATTGGCTACCAGGAAACTTGAGTAATACTTGAGCAGATAAACCTACATCTAAACTGAACCATGGTATAGTTCAAGACTTGGTTCTCGCCGTTGGCATCTGACGGCGCATCACGGTCCTGGAATTGCCGTCTCACAGCAGCGTACCGGGTAGCGATAGTAACACCACGAGCAAGAACACCGCCAGATTGCAGCACAATTGTCGAACGCACCCATGTGAGAGTACCGTATATAAGGGAAGGCGAAGAAGGCTTTACGTATTTGTTGGTTTCGGGGTCCACTCTCGAAAACTTAGCCAACATGTTGATGTGTGGAATTTTGAGCTTGTTCAGGAGAAGAAACCCGTTATCCATGGTATTATATCCAAATTTTGGGCCAATATCTCCTACATGGACTCCCTCAAGGGGTTCGTGTGTCTTCATGTCCCTAATTTGACACACAAATGGGTGTGGTCCATAAGGCTTGCCGTCAATAATGAGCTGTGCCATAACGACAGCATGATTGGCAGTCCTGCCCAAGCTGCCAATCCACCATTTTGAAGCCGTGAGCTGTGGCGAATGGAGTATGAATGTCTTGTCCTGGGGATTCCATGTAGCAGTTGTCTCCAAGCCACGCACATTCGAGCCATGCCCAAGTTCTGTTTGAGCATAGCAGCCGATGTGCCTATAGTTCTGAGCTGGTTCCAAGAACTTCTTGTGCTGTTCAGGCGTTCCTTGACCTTCCAGAGTAGTCTACATCAGTAAAATCAGCTGATGCTAGTTGTGTTTGATAACGTCGAAAAGTTGACATGAAAAGGGCAGCCGGATATTGAGCATTGGACATACCAAATACATGGTTGCATGCAACCCATAAGGTCCAGGCTCACTGATCAAATCATTGGCCGTTATATAATCATCCCGATCCCATTTATGCTGAACTTGCAACTGCCTCAACCTCTTCGCCCTTGCCAGCGCCGTCTTGAACTTATCAACCCTGCCATCGAAATAGTTCTGACTCTTATCAAACACCTTCTCCTTTTGCAAAATATCCAGAATACGATCCTGACGCTCTAGAACTTCCTTTGTAAAGAGGAAGTTGGAGAGTTGCTCGACGGAGATCTTGGATTTATCTCGTTCAGCTGCGAGGAGTTCAGTGCCTTGGGGAGACGCGGGCTTCAGGTCTTTGACCCATTGTGGTGTGGGAGACATTTTGGATGAGTGGTATGCAGATGAGAAGAGTATTGAGATTGAGCTGAGTATTTATGGTTTCTTTGTTTTTTCGGCCCTCGGTCATGACCTTTCTCACCTGAAAGTGGTTCTAATGTCCTCGTCATGAGGCTTCGGGCGCCGTACACTAAGATTGTACCTCGGTACATCGGAAACGGTTGCTTATTGGTTGACCCACGAGGCTGGAAAATAAGTGAACGGAGTATCAGACATACCTGCCTTACCTATTTTAAGACTGAGTTATACATCACGTTGGGGAAACGCGCTCTTGTTGTAACTAGCGAGATTTTAGGTAAGACTTACCTGCAGGTAGGTAGTACAAGAAGTCGCGTCGGTGTTGTTGGTTGAAGATGCCGATTCACCACCAATCAAGAAGCTTTGGTCAAATCAATGCATTTAGCCGGATTGAACAAGATACTTCTGTGATTGGGAATTGGAAGTCTTCAGCTAATTTCAAGGAAGGTGTGTCTCAGTAATAGGTATATTATTTCCCTTATTTTCCTTTCCTCCAAACTCCTACCGATCAACCAGCCTAAAAGGACCTAAGTAAGAAATGGTATCAAACTAAACGCTAAATATCAGATATCCAATCTCCTCCCAAACCAGATTATGAACATATTAATAAACATATTTCTTCATGCTCTCTCTCAAACATTATCCTCTCCCGTCTTCTCTGTTGTTGGAATAGCAGCTCCACCTTCAGATTCCTCGCTCGGCGCCACCGCTGGCTTAGTAGGAGCGAACGCACTCCTTCGCCGAATCCTTTCACCATAGATAATGAAGCATATTGGAATAGGGACCAAGGCCAAAGCTACACATCCAAGCAGAGTGCCTGCCCAATTGACGTGCAAGGAATTGAACATGTACTGACTGAACATTGGGAATCCTGCACCTGCAAGCGAACGCAGGAATGTGTTGGCGGCAATCGCTGACGCGGCAAACATGAGATAGGCATCGACAAGGTAGTTGAGAGATTGCAGGAAAATAGAGAGGAGCCCAAAGCCGGTAAGCAGACCGGACAGCGTGGGAACGATCCAGTGTATATCTTTACGGTACCCTGACCATCCAAACCAGAACAGACCTCCAGCGAAAGAAATGCCTCCGATAACGACTGGCATCAGACGCCACTCGGGAATTGGTACGTCATTATTTGCTGCTAACTTCCTGTTGTATTGTGGTGTGAGGAGGACAATATAGATACCAGCTGAGATCATGCCAATGATCATGCCGAAGTACGGGAGACCTCCAATTCCAGGAGTGAAACCATGGATTTTCTGGAAGACGATAGGGTAGGCTGTTAGGAAGAGGTAGAGCAGTCCATAAATGAAAGACATGTAAATCGAAAGCAGTAGAACAATAGGTTCTGTGACGAGCAGACGCAGTGGTCGGGTGAAATTCTTGGTAATAAGATCGCGGAAATCGATTTCGATCTCTTCTTGCTTGGCGTGGATACCCCAGTTGCGAGTTCTACGGCGAATCTCGGAGGCTTTGGTGATGAGAATGACGGGTGGGTAGGTTTCTTCAAGGAAGAAGAGGTTGAGAAAAAATGCAACAAATCCCATGATTGCAGTAAGCCACTCTGTCCAGCGCCATCCTAGGTAAGATTCCACGATGAAGCCTCCGATAAAGGGTGCTAGGAGGGGTCCGGTAAAGACTGTCATGGAGAAGACGGTAATTGCAAGCCCACGAGTCTTGTTGTCGAACATATCGGAAAAGACGGCAGCGACAACAGCCAGAGGAGCTGCTCCGAACATACCTCCCCAAAATCTGCAGAGGAGAATTGTCTGTAAATCTTTCGCAGCTGCTACGGCGATTTGGAATATAGAAAATCCAAACATAGATATAACCAAAGGCAACCTTCTTCCTCTCAGCTCACTGAGAGGAGCCCAAAAGATTGGTCCAAAAGCGAATCCGAGCACGTAGAACGAGAGGCCCAAAATGCCAACCTCAGTGGAAACATGATATTGTTCAGCAACTGTCCTCGTTGCCGTTGAGAAAATACTCGAAGTGAAGGCTGACACCAGTGTGGTATAACCAAGCATGATGGCGGTAAGAACCCTAACATATGGCATTAGCATTGGTTGAACTCTATCGGTAGGCGCGGCGCACGGCGCACACTGATCGACGTACTTTTTCTTTGTAGGCCAATTCTGAGCGTGCATTGGATCATCGGGCCCCTCGAACTCTACCACATATTCGTCACGATCGGGGAGAGGGGGTGGATATGGCTTCCCCACCCCCATCCCTGGTAATGGTTTCTTGCTGTCTCTGCTCTTAGCCGTGGCCTCTCTTCCTACGGTTCCTGTGTGCTGACTCTTTGCCGTCTGTATCCGACTCAAGACTGTCGGGTGTCTTTCTAAATCTCGCTGAGTCGCGATGCGTGATAAACCAGCTTCTCGGCGTACGGCTGAGCTTTCCGAGGCGGAGGAGGATGTTGTGGAGGCGGTGGGGATGCGTTGGACTTCATGGCTAAGACGGCCGGGAGGTGTATTGATAAAACGCTCTGGGGACGCATCGCGCTCATTGCGCTCCATCTCTCTATCGGCTTCGTTCATCTTGGCTGCTGGGATGAATTCGATGAGTCACTGTCAAAGGTGATTTCGAGGCGAGGCGAGGTGAGGTGAGTGAGCCGGGTATTATTATTGTTTGGAAGGAGGGCGTGCTTGTGCTCTTTATTTATTATTTGGGAAGTCGGACCCCTGTTCGGTCGCAATAAGTCGCGACGCCTCCTCGGCACGGGAGTCAGTCTGGAATCAGTAAGCAAGAGTGCAAGGACGTTGAAAGGTGCCATGTACAATTTCGGCCTCTTACCGAAGTAGATGGTGGGCAGGGGCGAATCTCGACTTTGTGGGGCCTTTTGGAAAAGTGCGAAGTAAGTGGCCACCAGTGCCCCCACCTTGGGCTTCAAAAGATAAAGAGAGATTCAGCGGTCGCGATATTTGAAACAAGAGAAAATGATAGATCTGTAGCCTTTGAAATAATAATAATAAAATACACAGATTGTCATTCTTCAATTCTGACCTTTCTTTCTTTCATACCTACCTCACCTCAAGCCTCCCGCACGCACAGTGACGACATTATGATTGTTGGCATATATCTGCCGCAAAACTTTTCTTAGACTCGACCTTACAGCTTACTTCGTGCATTCGTAAAAGCCGAAGGAGCGAGCACCGATCAACTCCGTCGCCTTATCAATCAATCTGCCTGCATAAAGTTCTACACCACCAAACAAAGAAGGAAAAGAAGGAGAATTATGCGCGCTAGATCATTCCATGCATCTCCCAAGCCGAGTACCCGGATTACTATTCCAATTATTTGAACTTGCAGTATATATGTATGTACCCGTAGTCCCGGTCCCGTAACTACGAAGTGCAAAAGCCGCTCCGGCTCCGCTCCCCGTGTGTCCCGTACGCACGCACTATACGTACCACGCGTTTCCCTAAGAATAGAAACTCCTAAACGACTACAAGTACCTCCGTAAGTTTCAGATATTTGTGAAAATCATTACTTAGAAAATTAAGTTTTCATACAGTAGCGCCTCATCATTTGTAAGTGGGATCTTGATTCCGCTTCCGCACCCTCTCCTACGGAGTATAACAGAACTAGGGATCCGTTCCGTCTCCTGCTCTTAAGCCGAGTTGCAAGATACCTACCTTACCTTACTTATCTAGGTACTTCTACTCGTACCCAAGTTGACTTCCATCAACCACGCTTTAGGAAGTCGATATACCACTACTCATACAAATGCCATAGCAGATGTTGTTCATCTAGCTTTAGAATTATACAAATTACAGGTACCAGGTACTTTGAAGTATATTGATTTATGGGTCGCCGAGGCACAAGAGGCTCCCCAAACTTCGGGACAACCCTAGCCCTACCTGAGCCGTAACGACCTAGCAAGGTATACTCGAAGAGAATTCCAACTAGCCTTGCGGCGACATGCAAGCTCTGCTCTCTCGCCGACCCGTTGTCCTATTCCAGACGAATTATTTAGCGTACATCTACTGACGGTGCCTTGATTATTTTCAGCTTCAAGAGTTCAAGTCGACTTAGACTTAGAGAGGCGAATAATTCATAATTAAATTGTTATTTTTATATTGGTCTCATTATGCCTTCGTCACAACTACATGCCAGATCTACTGTACTCGGAAGTTATGCGTGATCGTTGAGAGATCTCAGACACTGCATGATGGAATTTTACTCAAAAACTCCGACCCAACCCCCATACACAGTAACGATACACGAGTGATACAGACTTGTCCGACATCTAAACATCATCCAAGGTGAACCAAGAACTTTAAGCTTATATACACATTGTTTTACCACGAGGGCTGGATTTGATGATTCCCTATACCTCTTCACTCCTCGACCTCAGGCCTCCTTAAGCTTTCCTTCACCCCCCAACCATTCGCAAGCAACTCGCCAACTTCTTCTAGACTCAACCCTTTAGTCTCGGGATAAATGCGCCAGATAAATAGCCAGCCCACAATGCAAACGCCAGCGTATACAACGAATGTCCAAGGTGGAGTCAGGAACTCCATCATAGGCAAAAAGGTCAGCCCGACAATGAAGTTGGCTCCCCAATTAGTACTCGTACTTAATCCCGAGCCCAAGGAGCGCACGTTTAAGGGAAAGAGCTCGCTTTGCATCCAGGGAACGTTCCCGAGTCCCAGGGCATAGGAACCGACGTAGATCATGATGCTGACTAGTACGAGTAAGGGTGCTGTGCGTTCGGATAGGGGAATTTCGTCCCTTGCAGAGGCTGACGAGGAGGGGGCCTCTGAGTTGAGATCCGCAGGCATTCTGATGAAAATGAAGCCGGTGGCGCAGAATAAGAGGCCAATGGCCATGATTGGGACGGACCAGAGAAGGATTCGTCTTCGACCAACACGGTCGATAAGCCCCAATGCTATGCAAGTCATGATAAAGTTCGTGACTGCTACGGAGAGCGATGTTAATGTCGGGCTCGAGAATCCCAGCATAGTGAATATGGTAGCCGAAAAGTACATCAGAGAATTGAAACCACAAAGCTGCTGGAGCCCTTGCAGCAAACAGGCGATTGTCAAGGCCCTCCGATTCCCAGGGACTCGAAAAAGCTCTGTCCAGATATCCTTGGAGTCCGTGACCCAACTCGCAGCCCCTTTCTGCTTCTGTGCCTTCATTCTCGTCCTCTTCGCCTCATCCTCCTCCCGAACTTCACTCTCGATCCCCTTCAGCACCCCATCCACCATCCGCTGAACATCAACCCCAGCCCCGAATACCTTGTTTAGTACCCTCCTCGCCTCATCCCGCCGCCCAACCTGAGCAAGCCACCGGGGCGTCTCAGGCATAACAAGCATAACCAGCATCTGCCCCGCGGCGGGTACAGCTCCAAGCCCAAGAATCCACTTATACCCCGTAGCCTCATTTCCCCACTGCACAAATGCCCAGCCGACAATATAAGCAATAACCTGCCCAAACGTAACAAATAAGATATTAAGCACCAACATGCGCCCTCTGAACGGCGCCGGCGAAATTTCAGCGATATATAACGGTGTGACAAAACTGCCTGCTCCAACTGCAATACCGACGATGGCGCGGCCTGCTATCATGCCCCCTACAGATGTAGTGATAGCTTGTAGTACAGCTCCCAGTATAAACGCCACGTCCGCCAGCAGTATGACTTTCTTTCTCCCAAGTGTATCGGCCAGTATACCGGAGACAGGCGAAACGAGTAAGGCGAAGAGAGCAGTAGCGGACGTGATGAGCGATTTATCGAGTGTCGACAACGGGTGTCCGAGGGAACTGTTGATCGAGACCAGCGTTGCGGAAATCACGCCCGTATCATCTACTCAGATATCAGCACAGTTTATTTCAGTTATATGAACTTCTAGATAACTTACACCCAAATAATAACCCACTAATCCCCGCGGAAAACGTTAATAACCATACGAAGATCCCCGGATTCTTGAGGTTCTTCTCGAGCAGCAACGAGACACTGCTGAGATCCACGTCCTCCGCGTCTCCCTCGTAGTTGTCAGTGGAACGGCCCATTAAGGGCTCTTCAGCGGTGTCCGCCATGTCGCGGAGGGTTATTGAGGATGACGCCGTAGTGGAGGTGGGTGAGGAACGGCCGGGGAAGCCATGAAATAGTGGGATGGGGATGGGGACAAGTGACGGGAAGTCATGGGGTTTTGGCGGAATGTTATTTGTGGCGCGCAATGATCGACAGGGGAATCAATGCGTGAAGCCGAGGCTGATCTTCAGCCTCAGCCTCGCCTTTTTTTGTCCTTGGCTTGGCTTGGTTGGGTTGCAAGGTGGAATTTCGAAGACTATTGGTCCGTTAGATCATGTCTTACTTGCGATTCTACTGTTTTCTCAGGTTGTGCAATTGTGAAACGAGTGACGGTCTATAAGCTTAACCGCTCGCTCGGGAATCAGTTGGGGAATAGAGGTATGTTCTAGGAGGGTGCCAAATGGAGATGGGCGAGAGCTAGACAAGATACTGAGAACATCCTGATTCCAGAAGTGGAAGCTGAAAAGGACGAAAAAGTTACACCGGTATTACTTTAATACCTTGCTGATATTTATTGGGCTCGGAATATTATCTTGAATGGCAAAGTGTTACAAAGCCTCATCTGGCCCAAGAAATGAGATTAGGGAGACTGCTTGAATGTCTTATGAGCCTTGGGATTTATAAGTGTAGTCAAGTACATGTTTCCTTTACGGCACAAGGTCTTCTGCTATTTTGGGACATTGTCATGTCTTGCACTGCCAATCTTGTGATTCAGAGAAGCAGTTCATGAACCTTTGCATAGGTAAGGCCGGTAGGTATCTTCTCGTTACTCCTCTATCTGACTCCATGCCATTTTCCTTGTATCTAATCGTTCTCCCTCTCCTTTCACAACTTCCTTGATCTTTTCTCCCGTCTGCCATCTCAGCATAGTAATCGAATGCTTCACAAACCTATATTTCCCCTCGCCGTCCCACTTGCTTTCTGTTACGCCAACCTCATCCTTCCCTTCTACGTTCACAGCCTTCACTCCCGGCCCAGACACGGTAAATGCTTGGACATCCTTCGCCGCACCCTTTAAATCAACTTCGAAATCTTTGTCCTCACTGACATTGACCACCACCAAGCTCAGCCATCCCTCCTCGTTCACACAGGCACTGACATCTAACCAACTCGCTCCCTGGTCTAATACCCCCTGAAGCCAGCTCGGCTGAGTAGCCCCATCATAGGCACCCCCCGTTATATGCACGCCAACCGTCCAGCCACGCATGTATTTGCTGAACAATAATAACGGCCACCAAGTAGTCTGCTTCACAATTCCATCCTTACTCGTCATCAACGGACTGATCACATTGACACTTTGTGCAATATTTGCCATTCCCACATATTTACTCTGTCTCACAAAGACATTCAACCACACCCCTACCGCCAACGCATCACTCAGCGTATAGCACTCCTCCGCCCCCTCCTCACCAGGCGCTCTTACTGGATCCCAAACATTCCACTCATCAAAGCAAATCGTAGTTCTCGGAACAGAACTCGGAATCTTCTTCTCGATCCTCGCAATATCTATCAGCGAAGCAGCAGTTTCAATAGCTCGTTCTGCTGATAGAGGAGCCGTGGCATTGAGGAGGTGTTCCGACGAGGAAGTATAGTGATGGATACTATGCATGTCCACAAAAGAAATACACTCCTTCAACACCTCAAAATCCCAAGACGCCACTCCCGTCTCCCCACACAGTATTAAACACAGACTCGGATCCAAGAGTTTCAGCGCCTTCGCCCACTGCGCAGCCTGCGTCGCATACGCAGAAGCCGTCATCTGGCCTACTTGCCAGGGCCCCCATGTCTCGTTTCCGAGGGCCCAGTACTTGATGTTGTACGGCTCCTCGTGGCCGTTCTTGCGCCGCAGGTTGGCGTAGTACGTATTCCGCGTGCCGTTGCAATACTCGACCCAACCGAGTGCTTCGTCCAAAGTTCCTGTTCCGAAGTTCAAGCAGAAGTAGGGTTCCACACGCTTTTCTTTGCCTTCGCTGAGGACGCCGAGATAGTGCATGAATTCATCAGTCCCTTTTTTAATGAAATCAGTCATTGAGTTCTAGATGCGGGAAATATGAGGGGAAGATACCGAATTCATTGGTTTCGGTTCCTAGCCAAGCAAGTTCTGGCCGCGCTGGTCTGTTTTCTTTGGGCCCGATGCCATCTTGCCAGTGGTATGTTGCAATGAAGTTCCCGCCTGGGTAGCGAATCACGGGGATGTCGAGCTCACGGAGAGCTGAGAGGACGTCGGTGCGGTAGCCATTGGCGTCTGAGAGGGGGTTTCCGGGGTCATATATCCCACCATAGATGCAGCGGCCCATGTGTCTAGGGTTGGTATGAGTCAAAGTATTATTCATGAAGGGGGGGGGGGAGTTGAAGGTTTCAAATCTGGACTTTTTCTTTTCGGGCAAAACAGGGCAACACTTCTGGAAAGTACTCACTCCATGAAGCCTCCATATATATTTGGATCTAGAAATCAAAGGTTAGCTTCTAAGATTCTATAGTAACTGGAGAATAAGTACCGATTTTTGATAATCTCCTGGAAACGTCAACACTGATGGTCGGTGTGTCGCCTTCTGGAATTCGTGTAAAGGTCGTCATATTGAAATTTGGCCCTCAGTCCACAGGAGAAACAACGAGGAAGAGACAATCTGAGCAGTTCAGATTTACAGAGGAAAGTGTTTATTTAAGAAAGAAGCTTTGAGTGGAGCTTGGCTCAAGCTGCTGCTGCACCCAGGTGATCTATCTATCCACTGCAGCTCCTAGAAGACTGGAACAAAATCCCCCAATAATCTAGTCCGGGCTCTCAAAACAAACTCCTAGCTCTAGAGGTGGATTTCTCAGCCCTCAAGAATAGTAATGTCAGATAAGCTTTTACATATACTTCATTGTCAATATTCCTTCCCCATTCCCTTCAACACGAAGATAGATGACCAGCTGAGCTCTCAAAACAATAACGGAACTCGAGATCCGGAGGCTGCAACGAAAACGAACCACTACTAAACACATCGACCCATCAAGCTTTCCCCCATCCTGTCAGACCACCAACACTGATTGGTGCGCATATATACAGTCCACTCATATACGAAGGTACAGTCCGCCTGGTGCATCGCAGACAGACACCTGACGAGCTGTGAGTGGGGGAATTAGATTCTGCCGTCCAACCACGCCAACCCATATTTGGTACCTCCGTACCAGCCGCATACTGTAGAGGTCCACCCCCTGTTTCCCCGCCTCCACATCTTGCTGCACGTCCACATGCGGTGTCATAGCCGAGAATGTTTACCAGAAACTGTCTATCGTATGTTTAGACACCATGATATTTTTGAATCGCCGTTCCAATGGGAAGGGCACCAAGGTTCAATGCTCGCATTTGGCGCCGGACTTTTCTTTTTCCACACGCGGGTGATGAGGCTTTGGTAGGGTGTTTCTGAGAGTATGGAGCTACCCTGGTTCACCCCGCATTGTAAGTCTAGAGCTCCCTTGTCCACTTGAAGTTCTAATTTCATGGGGTGCAATGTTATAAGTTCTGGGGATATTCCCAGCCTTTTCAGCTTGCAGAGTTGCATTGGAACTCCTCCATCTTCTTGTCTTTTCCAAAAAAGAAAACGGTCTCTGTTTACGTTGGCATCATGGTGCTTGCTCCAAAGACTTATCAGGTAAGTCGGTCTTTGACTCCTAGATCTTGCATGGCTTATGATGGTAATCTAGTTCTTGGTGGGCGTGTTCGCCTCTATGGGATCGATCCTCTATGGCTATGATTTGGTAAGCTTATTCTCATTCCCATACAAAACTGCCGTTCTCGCCGAGGAGTCTGGGGGCTTAGATAGTCATATACCAGCTCCCTAGGCTTCTTGGCTCTCTCCAAGCAGTCAGTATTCTACTGTGCTAATTCGTTGGAAGGGAGTTATTGCTGAAGTGTAAGTGCAAGATTGGATCAGATTGTCCGTCCCAGGCCCGACGATAGTTACTAACTCATCTTTGTAGTATTTCATCCGAAACATTTGTGACCTTTTTCAACAAGCCCGACTCGACCAAGACGTAAGACAAGTCTCTGTATTTGCTGTGACAGGGCTAACGAAAAGTAGGGGAATCGTAGTGTCTTTCTTCACTGGTGGAGCTTTCTGTGGAGCAGGATTAGCTGGACCTGTAAGTACACCACTGAAATTCAACAAGCAGAACTAAGTGACTGACGTTGTTCGAGTGCGGAGACAAACTTGGAAGAAGATGGACAATTGTAATCGGCTGCGTGGTCTACCTCCTCGGCGGCGCCCTCCAAACCGGATCACAATCCCTTGATTATCTCTGGGCTGGACGCTGGCTTGCAGGTCTTGGTGTCGGATTTCTCGTCATGATCATTCCTCTCTACCAGGCTGAGATCGCTCACCCTTCGATACGTGGCACAATTACAGCTCTGCAACAGTTTATGCTGGGCATAGGAGCGTTTGTTGCCGGCTGGGTGTCATACGGAACGTACGTTGGCATCAAGCACTCTACAGCTCAATGGCGTGTTCCTCTTGGGATTCAGATGATTCCAGCAGTGGTACTTGGAGCTTTGATCATGACCTTCCCAGAAAGTCCACGTGTAATAATTCCCTCTGCTCCTCAAAGAAATACTATACTAAACTCACATCAGTGGCTCATTGATCACGGACGACCGGACGAAGGCTTACAGACTCTGGCTCAACTCCACTCTAATGGCAATGTAGAAGACCCCTGGGTACGCGCCGAATACGACCAGATCCAAGAAAGCATCACATTCGAGCACGAACACGAGGCGAAGTCATACTTTGAACTTTTTACAAACAGATCATCATTCAGACGTCTCTTTATCGCCTGTGCCTTGCAGGCTTCTATTCAGATGACTGGCGTGTCTGCAATCCAGTACTACAGCGTAAAGATATATGGCCAGATTGGAATTCTAGGCTCTGATGCTTTGAAGTACCAAGCTATCAATAATATCATCGGATTGCTCGGTGAAGCGTTTTGCGTCTTGTTTGTTGATCGACTTGGAAGACGAAGGCCACTCATTGTCGGAAATCTTTGTAACATGGTTAGTATGATTCAAACAACCTCCCTTTGATATATTAACCAATATTTTAGGTCTGCTTCCTCATTGCATGCGTTTTGATTGCAGAATTCCCACCTGGTTCAAGCAACAACAATGCTGCTTCCTGGGGATTCATCGTCATGTAAGTACCTACCTATCCAAATACCTTGCAATGTCTGAGAATATTAGGACCTGGCTCTACAATTTCTCCTTCTCCTGCACATGCGGACCGCTCTCCTGGATCATCCCAGCCGAAATTTTCGATACTCGCACTCGCTCCAAAGGTGTATCGATCGCCACTATGGTGTCCTTCGCCTTCAACACGCTGATTGGGCAAGTGACGTCCACAGCCATGACGAACATCGGCTACAAATACTACTTCGTCTTCATCATCTGCAACTTCACCAACGCCGTGTTCTTCTATCTGTTCTTGCCAGAGACCAAGGGCCTGCCGCTCGAAGAGATGAATTATCTTTTCACAAATGCACCGTTCCTTGTGGCGGGACATGATAAGAGCAAGTATAAGGCGGGGTATGCGGATGATTTGGAGAGAAGAGCGTTGGAGATTCATGAGAAGGGTGGGGTTTTGGGACATGGTGAGGAGGTTATTGAGCATACTACTAATTGAAGTGGAACTGGGGTGATGGGATGAAGAATGACTAGATCTATCGGGAGGCAATGGGGAGCATATATAGCATGCAAATTATGCTAAATATAAGTTTAAACATGAACACATGCAATAGTAGCCTCAAATGATTCATTTTAGGGGTACCTCGATTAATTTTTTACGGATACTGAGTCTGGAGGGGGCGAGGCTTGAGATCTCCCGAGGTCATGCGTGAGTATTGGCTTTCAAGGCCAGAAAGGGAGGTACCTATGCAACTTGAAGGCTCATGAGATATTCGACTAACTGTTGTTTTGTATCTCATGCTTTAACAAATGCAGAATATTCTTCTCGGTAAGGGAACGCATGCATAGTGGGAGACTTCATAAATTCGCTTCACCCGCAAAGACATGGCATAAATGAAGTAAAGCACTTGCCTTTAGCTCAGTTCTACTTAGATGTCATCCACTTGGACTTTGGTTCCTAATCAATACTCTGCAACTATACTTCCTATAATGGTTGCGGTAACGCTGGCGATATCCCTCTAATGTCATGTGTTTTGAACGCGTAACTTGAATGGCAAAATTGTATCTTTCAGCTCACGCTTTCTAGGTCCACAAAGAAAAGCAGGGCAATAGATGCTGTTGTGTACTTCAGACAGCTGCGAGCAGTAATCAAAGAAACAATGCTAACTCTGACGTGACTATGTTGTTGCTGGAATTGGAGTGTCAAGGACGTTGGAACCAACACATGCCAAGGAACTGTTCGGATTGTCCAATTGTCAGACTGCCGAGGTAGCCGACATTTCTGCGGGCATAGTTCATTGACAGTGGAAGTCCAAGGAAAATGTATGCATTGCCAGAGCTCGACCGTGTTGGTAATGTACAGCTTGATCCGTCTTCCCCAGCATCAACCAACCCCACCATCTACAAATTCCAAACGCTCCAGCGACTGAAAGTGACTGATCGACCCATCTTCATATATATCCTTCTCTAAGCCGCTGCGTTGGCTGCTCGTTGATCCTCAAGCTTTGAGTAGTAGGCATCACGCTGGCGGACAGCTGGGATGTGGTATCCGTACCAAAAGAGGTATCCGAATGATGTTCCGAGACCTGCGAGACTCGTTGTTAGCCGTAGCTTTCCCAACCCATTTTCAATTGAAACTTCGGTCCAAATCCTAAGATCTCCAGCCTGCACCATCCCACAATACATCATTCTCCAGCTCGACATCACTTACCGAAGGCGACGCTGAGGTCAAGGACGAGGCCCCGACGGAGCATCTAAAAGGTACAAATCAGCTCATGTTCAAAGAAGTTCCAGATCGTGAGCAAAAGTGCTCTAAGGGGATTGGCAGGCTTGGAAAGTTACTTACTCCGGTAATTGGTTTGATTGCCATTGTGTGTAGTTCGTGAACTCCGCGGGAAAGCTCTTGATTTGTAGTTTTGTGTCGTAGAGGATCAGGAGTGAGGTTGCTTGAAATCGAACCACCACAAGAGGGCTAAGCAAAACGGGACTAGCGCTAGACACGTGACGGCATCATATTCAATCATCGAGGAGGCTACGAAAGTTCCAACCAGTTTGCGACAAAATTCTTCCACCAGCGACGACTACGAAATCGACACTGATAATGGGAGCATCGGCATATCGAAGGTGATTTGCTTTTGCTGCCAAGATTTCTAAATCCCAACCCAAGTTTTGCGACCATGGCGCCCATCTCTCCCGTCTCTCGAAAACGATCAACCCCCTCACACAGCGACGATGGGATCTCAGACGCGTCTTTCAGCAAGAGGGCACGCCTCTCACCCGTTCTTCCCAATACGCCGCCACCGGAAGAATCACTGCCAGGCAAGAAAGCAACAGCACCACTTTTCGACGATGATCCCAAGCGACTGCAACTGCGCTCACTCGCGCTCGTATTAGAGCACGTTGGCTTTGATGGAGCTTCTCCGGAAGCATTGGAGGCCTTCTCCGCCGAAGTTGAATCATGTTAGTATTGTACAGTATTGCCAAAAGCTATCTTCTAAAGGTTACCAGACGCTACACACTTCCTTGCGAAAGTTACAGCTCATATGCACAACGCCCGACGATCTCAACCCACTCCTCTCGACTTTGAATATGCGCTCTCTCGATTCGACCTTCCGCTCGCCTCCATAGAACCGCATCTCAAACCTCCAATTCCCAAGTCAAAACTCTTCGTTCGTTTAGATGCTGAGCCTCCAGAAGAAAAGAGCGAAATTGCGGTAGCGTTACTGGGGAATGATCTGAGTGGTGATTCTGACAAGAAAGTCAAGCCATACATACCAAAACGTTTTCCGTCTTTCCCAAGCAAGCACACGTATAAATGGACCGAGAAGGAATCAGCGCGAGAGACAGATCCAAGGAAGATTAGGGAGGAAGCTGCAAAGGCTGCGAGACAAGGCGAGGAAGCACTGCGCCGTCTGGTCAATGTGAGTAAAGCTGGGAAGGAGAAAGATGTCAAAAAGACAGCGAGTAAGGATCCACGGAGCAAAGAGAGATATCAGTTATGGGAACAGACGATGAACGACCTGATGTCTGGCAAAAAGCACAATGGCGAGGCAGTCGATGCAACGGAAGACCGAAGCATGATTGTGAACTCAGATCGACGATATTATAGGAAAGGAGCAGTAATGAAGAGGAAGCCGCTGATAGATGAAGGAACAATAGTCGTTTCGAGGGAATAAGGGTTTGGGACTGGTATTTGAAGCATTTCAGCGAGGCGTCTGGGAAAGGTTATTATGCATCTCATGGAGCTACATTGTTTTCCGCGAAGGGTTGAACTTATATTGTATTATAACGTTAGATTGCCGCACATATTCAAGCATCTGAAGGCGTAGCAAATACACGCTACGCCATCTGTCACCCATCATTCTGATTCTGATTGTCCTGATTGTGCCACATCTAAAGAGCCAGCCATGTGACATCTAAAGAGCCTCAACTGGTAACGTGAATGGAGCCCCCCAGAGCTTTCATCGCGGCTTGCTCTCTATTTATCATTTTTCCAAAGCGAGATTCGTTTCATCCCGAACCTGTCAAACCTCTTTTCCTCTTCCCTCCAAAGCCGTCGTCTCGACCAAAAAACTCCCCTCCCGATCCCGACATCTACAAACATCAGCCTCGCCCCATGATCAAATCACCTCCCCGCCCACAAACATCTACTTACCGACGAAACAACCTCTCAATAGGCCAACACCTGACAGGACTATTCTTCCGCCCCGGCTCCTCAATCTTACAATCGTACTGCAGCATCTCCAACAACTCACACGCCTTCAGATCCCCGTCGAAGCCTTTCCGTTTCGTGCCTTTCAGGTTCGTCTGCGAGACAATCGGCAGCTCGGAGGCTGGGAAGGTGGAGATTGGTGGTGCCATGAATGAATGAACTATTCCGTCCTTGGTTTTAGCTAATGAAGGCGTTCTTCTTGAGTTCTTGAAAGGCGTAAAAAGGGGGTGTTTTCTTTTGCGAGGAAGCAAAGATGGCGAGCGCGAGAAATGCGCCGGTATCATCAACAGAAATCCTCGGGGCGCGTCTCCTCTCTGAAATAGAAAGTGAAGAAGGGAATTTAGAAGATGTCAGTTTCTCTTTCCTCCATCTCCATTTCTTATTCCTCTCCTATCTAAATAAACACCAAATCACATGTTTCAATCAATCAATCAATCAATCGAAAAATCAGCTGACCAGCCCCCTTCACAACTTAGCTCCTGAAAGACCTCCGGACATCCACAAACCCAAACCCAGCACGCACCGGCATCCCAGATCTAGACGCGCTATGGCACTCCCACGGCAGCCGCCAACTATCCATAACCGGACGTTCATTACCGCTCATCTACCACCTAATCACGCACCTCATTTCCTCATCCAACAAAAACAAAGCCAACAGCCGCTGCGGGAGGGGCAGCACAGTAGCAGTCCTCGACCTCGAAGGCCGCTTCTCACCCTCCCATCTGCTACCCTCTTTGGGCGAAGACCAGCTAAAGCACATCTACATCTGGCATCCCACGCCCATCAACCTAGCCGTTACGCTCTCAAGCGTGGAGCAGTTTATGGTTTACGGGGAGCATGCGAGCAAGGACCGGGTTTGGAGGGGGCTTTTCGTATTAGGGGGGAGTGCGGCGGGGAAAGGTGTAAGGGGCGGGGATTTGGTGACTGTTACGACGGGGTGGAGGGGCTGGTTGCGGGTTGAGAGGGAAGCGGTG